CTGTCCTGTTACCGAGTGTTACTTCTGGTTGCAATCAAGTGGGCCCCAAAGTTTTGAGACACACCCATGTCTTTCGGCATTAAATAAAGTGGCCATAGATTTGGGAGCCCCTGTTTGGTTTCCCACCATGGAAGCTAGTTTATGGCCATTTGCGAAGTACAAGTGGAAGCTGTGACTTATCTATGATCTGGGTTCCTACTTAATAGCGAGTTAAAGAAAGCACATGTCCCATTTTGGGGAATTGAAGCATCACCCCAACATGATTCCTCTTAGTTCCCAACAACAGGGATCGGGTTTCAATCGCTGGGTCCGGAAATGTGTCTTTCCTTTGCCGAACCACTCAGGCCTTGGCAAGCGCTCGCGCGCTGTTTCGAGCTGGAAGAAGTTTGGAGCAGCAGTGCGCCTGAGGCACGCACGGACACTGTGGAGATTTGTTGGACAACCGAACCGAACCCAAAATCCTCCAGAATTGATGATATTAACTTGCAGAAGTGGGGGATAACAATTGGAAAGTCCTGACGTTGCTTGTTGGCTCATGTGGGAGTATACTCACCAACGTAGGACCCCTCAACCAGGAGGATGAGACAATCGATTTTTTGGGCACTGCTCGGCTCCATCCATAAGTGGGGGCCCTTTGATACCTGGGGTTAGGACTGGGCGACTGGGGGTTGTAACGCTGCTTCTAAGGCGGAAGTGGCCTTGTGGTAGGTTTTAAAATGGGGCTTTCTGAAAACAGGGCGCATGACCAAAAATGGTATTTCCCAAATCCGGAAAGCACCAAAGTTCCACCAGATGAGTCCGGATGGTGGTCTCTCTGGTTGCCTCTCCCATTTTCGCGCCAATGGCCTGCAGTGTGGTGCAGGAGTACAAGAGCTATCTGCCAGTGCATATGGATGGTTCTTGCAACGGCTTGCAGCCTGCGCCCCAATGCCTCCACAGTGAACATTTTTGGACAAAAATAGCAATACGGTATATTAACCATATTATAGGTATATAACCATGTATATATAACCATATGTATATATAACCATATGCTGAGAAAACGACAGATTTTATGAGCGATACTGGACCGACACCAGCGGGAGCATGGATCCACAGCGCGAGGCACTATGCAGCGTTGGGTCGAGACATTGAGGGCGGCCAGGCTGGGACAGAAAGGTGGTTGACACTTGGAAGATACCTATGCAAAACACATCAAAACACATCGTCTCATGATATAAAAGCAGGTAAAATCACGATTTAACCAGGGCAGGTGGCACCAGATGGTCTTCCAGATGAAACTTTTAATCGCTACATGAGTTGCCAAGTAAGAATGCAAACATGTCGCATGGTAGTACGAGTTCACACACACAGACACATGCATATACAATGTACAGAAATATATTTATATGTGTATATATATAAATACACACCTGGTCAACCACACACACATGTATATGTATAATATACATATATATATACACATGATATTTTACATATATATATACATATTTATACATACTATATTATTATATTATATATAGTATTATTATATTATTATAGTATTATTACATATAATATTATTATATATAATATACTAATATTGTTATTATATATTGTTATTAACTATTGGTGGTATTATAATATAATGTATATATATATATATTGTAATATATAACCGATAATATGTACATAATATATATATATATATTAAAATATATATTATAATATATCTGATGATATGTATATATATATATACATAATAATATATACACATATATATAGTATGCATATGATAATAGACATATATATATAGTATGCATATTATAATATGTATATATATAGTATGCATATTATAATATGTAATATATATGTAGTATGCATATATATATATTGTATATATATATACATACATAAATATCTCGTAGAATCTCTGAATGTCAAATTTGAAGTCTTTTGTTGCTCCTTGCATCCCCAAGTGTGTTTTTGCAATGCCACGGTTGAGGCCGTGAACCTGGTGCCTGCGGAGAAACCACAGGATGTCTACACCTTTGTTTTGAACGTGGTGAAGAAAAAGGCGGGGAAAATCCCTTTGTCTTGCTGCATGTCAGGGAATCCAGCATGGGCTGTTGTAAGTGTTGACCCGCTTTTTTTTTTTTCGTTTTGGAGTCTGGATTCGTTCCCTGAACATGTCAAAAGGGGGTGAGTGCTGCCTGCTCACAGTTGGAGTACTTTACTTGTGTTCATAATGGACTCAAGAGTGACAAGGATTTGGGACTGAGGAACCCAGAAGCTCACTGGACACCTCTTGAAATCCTGCTCTCATGTTCTCCCATCTTTTGCCCACCTAGTTTTTGCTTAGTCATTTTTTCATCAACCAATCCAAGAGAAGCCACCGATTCCCTTTTCACTTGGCAGGTTCATGCCCAAGCGACTGCCGAATTGGAGGAAGAGTCGACGGATTCTGGGAGATATGCCACTGAAGAGCCTCAGCAGCTTCGTTTGGTGAAGAATTTGATGCCCCAATGAGGCAAACCCAATCATAAACCATGCCAGTAACGAACCATTTTGGGGGCCATCATAAATCATCCCAAATAGGGACCGTATGATTATGATATACCCAATAGTAAACCGAACTTTTGGATGGTTGCTCATTGGCTTTCCCAAAAATTACTCAGCTTGTGGGAAAACATACCGGTGGCTTCCCCCATTTCCGGCTCCACCTGAGGAAAGAAAGAAGCAGCTGGCCCAACGACTCATCGAGCTTGATGTCTTGCAGCGGAAGGTGGTGAAGCAGACGGTCATGACCATTTGCTATGGTGTGACCAACGTCCTGCCGGCTGCTGTTGAACGATCATGGTGCCCCCAAGTAAAGCTATTTATATCACAATAGAACGGGGTTACAACATGTTACAACTACCAGGACTAGGTTTAAGTAGAGTTATCTCATTTGTGGCGCTTTGGGAGATAAACCAATCTGAACAAGATCTAGGCATCAGCGGTTGAGCCTCAGAGTCCAGTACCCTTGCTGGGTCGCTTCAACGTCCCAACGTCGCTTCAACGTGTGTTCTTGTGGCTCCAGGACACATAGATCATGGAAAGATGACATGGGACAGATGTGGCAAGTTAGGAATTTCCATGTCGAAAGTCTTCGAGCCCACTCCAGCCGCAAAAAATCGAGCTGACACGGCGTCGAGATGGGCCTAGCTGGTTTCATGTTTTCCACCATCGAAGGTTTGGCATGTCATGATTCGATCTATCGACAAAGGACAGCGAAAGACAGAACAACTTCCCAGCCGACTGAGCCTTCCGTATTGGGAAGTGTCCCAGGCATCTGCCAAGATGGGTGGTGTCCTTTTCTTTGGGCGATGTTATAAAGGGACATTCAAAACCTCTGTTTTATTGGTGTGTTTTCAAGCTCAACTTGAGTGATGTTTGATGTTGATTCGACTTGGCTCAGGCCAAATGGCAGAGGCAGATGTCTTGCGCTTGCTTTCTGAAGCAGAACGGCACAATGATGAGGAGGCCTGAGAAAGTCTTTGGGAACAATCCTATGTGGCTAAAAGAGTCTTCCCCAGCTATTTTAGCATCAAATGTGGAGACGATGATCCTAAAGTCTTTCTTTTTGTACCAAAAAGCTGAGAAGAGTTTTTTTTTTATGGTTCCCTTGTGATGTGCCGGACTCATGGCCTGTTGAACAACTGAAATTTCACGTTCCAACATGAATTTCAAATCCTCCAAATGCACGCATGAAACACAGTGGATCAAGTTTACGCTTAAATGGATCGAACAATGTCTTCGAAGGGTCATGGGTATGGCCAGGGGCAGGGGTTCTCAGGCTTTACCAGTGGCTCTGGGTGCAGGAGAGTAGCCAAGCCGAGCAGAAGGCCGAGGAGGCCTTGAAACTTCTGCGGAAAACTCCCGAGGCTGTGCCAGGTGGGCCAAGTTGAGACACAGTGACACACTTTTGGTGTTCTTTCCAACCGCCATTTTTTGGGGTAAGTTGAACCCACGCAATTCTTGGAATGAGTCGAGAATGGGGCCAATCCAGTTTCAAGATGTTTCAAGGCCATCAAGCGGAGATGTTTGAATTCTTGGGCCTTGGTGATGTCGCTTCATGTCGCTTCAATTGTTCCATACCTGGTGGGAGAGATTTCCCACTGCCATGTGAAGCCCGAACAGACCAGATTGATTTGGGATGATTCTCTGGAACAACAAATTGAGGTTTATAATGGTTTATAGTTTATGGATGGATTTCCCACCTTATAAACATTTTTTTGCTCCCATTTTCAGGTCATGTTCCTGTGTGTTATCAGGTCCAGCGGATGCGGTCCGAATACTGGCTCTGAGCAGTGACTCGGCCGCTCATGAGGGGGAATTCTACGAGAAAAAACATGGTGATATGATGTGACCTGTCTAGTAAGATCAGTAAACATATCTCATATATTAATATATAATACATATCAGTGTAATATATAATACATATCTCATATCAGTATAATATATAATACATAATATATAGGTTAGCAATGTCTGTGATTTGTCCCTTTCCAGATACCCTTCGAAAGGATAGCCCTTCCTTACAATTCACTAAGTTTGTAAGATCATTGGTATTTAACCATCAACTAGCATCATATGGATTTGTCTGAAGAAACGTGTGCCCCATCCGCTGGTTTCTCATCATTTTCCCTTCCGCAGACGTCCTGGAACTACGCTAAGATCAACTGAACGAAGCTCCACTGTGAATGGACGCAGATTGGAAACGCCTAACTAATGGAATTAATTACTAGTTATATGTACGAATTTTCCTCAAGCTTGTCAAGAGGGTGTTTGAATTAGCTCTGACCTATTTCACTAGGGATTTCAAGTGTAACTAGCCAGAGGCTCTTGCAGGGCTTGTGTCGCTTTCGGTGATTTCATTTTTTATTGTGTGTTTTTTTTTTTTTAAAGTTCTCTTTTTGCAAGACATAATATCCCCTTTGCCTTGCTGGCTCATACCAAGGGTCGGTGTTGGCCGAGGATGCCATATTACTCGACAAGACAAGAGCTGTTCAATGGCATAACTATAAAAAAATTGAACAGCTCTTGTCTTGTCGAGTAATATGGCATCCTCGGCCAACACCGACCCTTGGTATGAGCCAGCAAGGCAAAGGGGATATTTTGGCTTTGGGGTCTGCTTGGGTTTTATATGTTGGGACGTCAATAGTCATTCAAGATCTGAACAGTTTTTTGGTGGTTCGGCAATACCACGCGTCTACTTAGCCATTGGTTTCTGCAAGCTCGCTCGTAGTACTTTGGCAATGGGGTTTGTACAACTTTTTCAGCAGGGATCAAAGAAAAACCAAAAACAGCTTATCATTTTCCCTGTGTAAATGGCCATTGGATGTCCTCATTTTCAGCCAAAGCATGCTTGCTTACCTTTCCCACTATATCCCCATGAAATCACCTCACCATGACTATGAAAATCCCATTGAATCCCCATTTTGCTTAAATCCCATGGAATCCCCCCATATTTCAATGGACTCCCATGAAAGTCCCATGAATTCCCATAAAAAACTCCCATTTTATAACTATATTAACTATACTCCCATATAAATATTCCCTATTGAAATTTCCCTATACTATAGTCCCATATAGTCCCTTATAACTAGACTATACTCCCAGGCGAACTTCCCCCTTCTCAGACCGAGGTTCAGCCCAAGGAAACCGCAAGGGCGCCCTGAACCGGATCGCAGCTGAGAGGCCCACCCTGCCGAGCCAACGATCGCAGGCCTTGACAAAAATTAGGGGCGCGGGGAAAGAAAGGCTGGTTACATCTGGTTACTATGTGGGTAGATAGGTAGATAGGTAGATAAATTGATTATTGATGGGATAGTTAGATACTGGAAAGAAGTTGGCCAAGTACTTGGTTCTGTGAACTATTTTCCAGGCCCCGTACTTGAAGCCGTGCACTACTGTTTGGAATTGGGAGTTTGATCTTTCTTCCGGGATTGTGTGAAAGGAAAACTTGGACGAAACTGCGTCTTTGCCTTGCACCCCGGGGTTTCCCATGGGTTTCCTCAAAAATGTATATAGGGAAAACCAAATCCGTGACTCTTGCAGCCCTTTCCAATTCTGCCTTTGTTTGCGAAGTCTCCGTTTTTGTGCCTGTTTTGCTTCATAAATGGGTTTGTCGACTGGTTTCTCAACATTTTCCTAATCAAAATTGCGATATAGATTCAAGGTATACTATCCATTTTCAACCAAGATCGTGATGGTTGCGTGCATTCTCCCATCTTCACATGAAATCTATTCTTGAGGCTTAGACCCCCCATTTTTTCCCCAAAAATCCTTGGGAAATTCCCAGCCGTCCCCATCTGCCCCTCGTGCAGGCGGTGTTGATCTTGGCTTTTGCAGAGGTGGCCAACTCGCGATGCGGCAGCAAGCGGCGGGAGGCCGTTGGGATGCATCATGGTTGGTAGAAACTTCGAAAAACATGTTCATACCATATATAATTATATAATGCATATATGATATATATATATATGTATATACACATATGTATATATATATATATGCAATACAAACATATAATATATGTACATTTGCTAGTTGAGAAATTGACTGGGAGAGCAGACTGCATCGCCGGTCAAAAAGGCATGGCCACGAGTCTCAGGAAGCGTTACAAGCAGCCTTTCAAGCAGTGGAAAGCTTTCGAGCGCTGGGCGATCGGCGTATGGAGGACTGAAGCGGAAAGCAACCGCGTCGGATCATGGCCTCAAAGAAAAGTCAAACGGTAGACGTTTCTCTCCCTTTGCACAGTGAAGCAGTGTCTTTTTGCATAAGTGCCGGAAGTCCTGGTATGAAGACTCAATCATTAGTAGATTCTGAAGAAAAAGCATGCCAGCTGTTAAACTATCATCCAGAATTACCTCTCCAACTTCCAGCAATGGGCGATACACACCAATGTCAGGGCTGGAGTTTGGTGGCCCTGGCTCACACCCATGTTCAGAGAGGCGTGCCCAGATGCATCGCTGGCTGCCTTGATTTGGTGTATGACTGGTACACACTAAGGTCAAAGAACCACATACATCACGTCTTCGTTAGTGTGCAAGTACAACTATCATTTTTGCACATATATATATATATATATATTTGTACAATATACATATGCATGTATATACATATATATATGTATGTATACACATATATGTATATGTATATATATATAGGTATATACATCAATTTGTTACATTGCAAACACATACAGGTAGATCCAAACTTTGACCACACGCATATCGAGAACCATCAACAGTCCAGCCAACCACTTAGTCTCAGAACAAACAATGGCTCCCTGTGAATAAATACCTTACATCAATCCATTGAATGTCATATGTGTTGTTTAATTTCTCTATTCTGATCCCTCTGATGATTCAATCAGCCGTCTCATGTCTAAGTCCAACCACTATGACATGACCATGGATATTCTCTACGCATTTGGAACCCCATACAACAACCAAACATATCAAACAGCACCCGGAGTACTTCCAACCAACCACTTGGGGAAATTCCCTTTGATGGCTAAATCCAAACAACCACTATGATATCGCAGTGATGTCCCTATGTTACGAAAGAATCCCATTTCATCCCGACCAAACACTTGGTTTGTCTGAAAATAGGGTACGGTACTCCAGTCTGCCCCTTCCATCACACTGTTTGAAAGCTCATTTTCCTCATCAACACTGCAATAATTTGGGATCCGAATTTCGCAAGACGCAGGGTACATTGATAGGTTCCTATTTCCATGGGTTAATCTCAATCACTATGATTTTGTTGGAACAATCCCCACTTCGCATGCGGGGTGCACCAAGGGGGGAATGGCAGGCACCAAGAGCGAAATCGTGGAGGAGTTGGACCGTGCCATCGACGCGGCCTCTGAAGCAGAGGAGATCTTGCGGGACGTGGGCGACCGCGTAGGAGAAGGGAAGGCGATGCACACCATAGCGGTCCCCTGGCAGATGGGCTTGGGCTCAAAGGCCGATGGCCATGAAAGGAGGAAAACGATCTTGAAACCCGGGGCATACCCTAATGTATGGCCATTTTGATTGGGAGAATGATGATTAACCATGGGATTAATGGAGGACATCGCAATTTATCACAATTTTCAAGGGGAAGAAGATGATATAAAGCATGGGATGGAACGTGGTTTGTTCCGAATTTTGAGTTGCAAGACTGAAGTTTCGCTACACTCCAGTAATCAAGCCTGGCTGGCTGGGAAATCCCCAATGGAGTTCGAATGGGAACAGGATTTTCCATGGCCAAAGTACTAAATCCTAGAGCTGTCCATGTTGGAATCTGCGGAGCGGTGCCCAGGTCGCTCTCTCCTTCCAAAACAACATTGATGAGGCAGTAGAGCGGTCTCGAGCACTGGTGACCTACTGGCACAACCTCGGCTATAAACGGCTGGAGGCGCTGCTGAGATCTGTTGGGTCTTTCTGAGCGGGATATGTGCCAAGTTCCAATGCTTTTTATCATCATCTTCCAGCATTTTTTGCGGTATCCCGGATTTTTGAGACAAATCCATTTGTTGTTTCTGGTGTTGCAAAATGCTGATGATTTCTTGGAACATGTAATGATCTTTATGTAGGATCCCGAGCTGGATGATTCAAATCCCCGTTCATCAACGTGTATGTATAATGGATGTCTCATCATTTCTCAAATATGGGCAGGTTATCTTACTCCTTTTCTTGATTGGTTCCGGCGCTGCAACAGGCCTTCCAACAGGAGTGCGTAAGCGAATGGGAGTTGGCACGTCACAATCCAGAGGAGGCGAATGGGTTCTCAACGGGTAGCCATGGGGCAAAAGGGTGTCACTCATGGTGTTTCTCCAGAGATCCGGCGGTTTCTTGAGAATTCAAAAAGACAGCTGAATCCTTAGGCAGAGATTGTGAGATTTGCGTTTTGACCCTATCGTTCAGTCGCATTTGTAGTGTGAGCAACTTGATTTCACAGATGATTGCTTCTCTCTCTCTCTCTTTGTTTGTTTGTCTTTCGATTTGCTTGTCTTGCCATCCATTTGTTCGTCCATCCATACATCGATCTGCTCGTCTACCTACCTACCGACCTACCTACCTACCTACTCGCTCCATCCGTTCATCTACCTATCTACCCATCTACGTATCAATATTTAGCATATCTTACATGCAATATCTCATAACTAATTTTACATTTCAATCGACCTGATGTATGTATATGTATATACACATCATACTATCCATATCTATCCATATTACACACACATATGTATATATATACATACAAATAGTATATATATACATTATAATAAATAGTATACACAAGTAGTACACATACATATATACATATACTATAAGAAGTAACGGTAGTATATATAAGTATTATACATACATACATACATACATGCATGCATGCATGCATGCATACATACATGCATACATGCATACATGCATACATGCATGCATGCATACATACATGCATACATACATACATGCATACATGCATACATGCATACATGCATACATGCATACATGCATACATGCATACATGCATACATACATGCATACATACATACATGCATGCATACATACATACATACATACATACATACATACATACATACATACATACATACATACATACATACATACATACATACCATACAAACCCTACACACCATACATAACTTACATAAACAACATAACAAACATAGCACACACACACACATTCCATACATACATTACATTACGTTACATTACATTACATTACATCACATCACATTACATTACATTACATACAAACATGCCTACCTACATACATACATTACATACAAAACATTTATATATGATGATATATGTATATGTATATATATATATATCATATATTGTATATATGCTGTATACTTCCAGGCCTTGGAGGCGGCTCAAGCAGCTCTGGCGCAAAAGGTGCAAAGGGGTCGTGGGATTTTAACCCTTGGAGCAATGGGATGTCACCAAGAAATTCATCATGTGATTCAAAAGGGGTTTAAGCGGATTTCATGAGATTTAAAGGGATTGAATGGAATTTAATGGAATTTGACTAAGAAGCAATAAGATTTTGTGGGATAGAAGCAGCAAATAGTGGGATACAAGCGGTAACTTCTAGTTATAATAATGGGTATAATATGGTTTAGCCATGAGAAAAGGGATAAATTCTGATAAATACCAAAAGCATTCTGACTTGGCCTGGGGCGAAGCAGCGGAATAGGCTTTGAAACTAACCAACAGCCTGAATTCTTTCGTGCGTCCCAGGGTTGGATGGCTTAGCGGACAAAGATAAGATTTACTGGGTGGATGGGTAAGAAATAGTATGAATGACCAACCATGTGTGTGTGTGTGTGTCCGTTGGTGTATGTATGTAGAGGTATGTATTTATGCATATAATCATGTATACATACATACGTATATACATATATATATATATACATATACATATACATATATATATACATATATATACATATACATATACATATATATATATACATATACACATATACACATATACACATATATATATACATATATATATATACATATACATAAATATATATATATACATATATATACACATAGATATATATATATACATACATGCATATATATATATATACATATGGCATATATGGTATATATATATGATATATTTACACATGGCCTATTAATATATATATATATACATATGTGGTATATATATATATATTTGTGGTGTATATATATATAGATATGGTATATATATATACACATGTATTTATGGTATGTATATAATATGCCATTTATATTCCAGATATAATATGGCATACCTATATATGTAAATCGGGAAATACGTGCACACTGTTCATTGACGAGGCGCTAAGAGAAGCGAGTCGTGCGGGTGAAGGGATTCCATCGAGATCTGCGGCGGCCTTGATCCATGCCTCCAACGCCTATCTGACTCTGGGAAAGGCTGATGAGGCAATGGGAACGGATGTGGGTCAAATGGTGAAATCATGGGGAAATGATGATGAATCTCATCCACCTGATATGAAATACTCTACATATAGTCCTCCAAAGTGTATAGATCCAAGACATTCCAATACTAAACCAGGTTTTTTTTTTTTACGGGTGTATTCAATATAGAGATGCACCATTGGATGGAATGGAGTATCCAATTTTTAGACAAAACCACGTAAACAGTGGGTTTAGTTGAGGGAAGCTGGTGGTTATGATATGAACCATGAAAAGATGGGATATGAAGCAAGAAGTGTGCAATGGGGATATGAAACAACAGACAATGGGGATGTGAACTGACAACCATGGTACATGAAACAACATCAACATGAACAAATCAATGTGATGATTTCGGGCCATCACATCCTTGGGTGTCAATAAGTGGATTATGAAGTGTCAAACACATGAAACCAATTTCCCGTTTGGATTTTTTTTTCTTGAACACTTCAGGCCCCAATTATCTGTCTGGTTTGAAGTTTGGACAGTGATGGACATTACTTCCCCCGACATGAGATGCCAGGCATTGAAGTTGTCACAAGAACGGCTTGAGGTGGGGATGGCCGAGGATGGCTGTGCAGCTCAACGGGGGTTTTTCTCGGGGTCCCATCCCAGGTCGTCCCCAGCTCCAAACCAGTTGAGGTCTTCCAGAAAAATGCCGACTTCGAGAGTGAAGTTGTAGCGCTGCTTGGCAGAAGGGGCTGAGCTCCGCTACAACGGTGCCGGTTCCAGCAGAAGGCTTTGATATTGGAATGGGTAAGCCCCAAACTTAGAAACTCAGAGGTATTCAACTAAAAAATCAGATCAATATCTCAGCAACTGGATGGCTTTCTGGATATTTCTTGGCATTGTTGGACGCATCATGTTAAACTGGTTTCTAAAATGCCACGTTTTGAAGTTTGCTCACTTCCCTTCAACCTCAATCTTTGGGCACTGCTTTAATTGAAAGTTCTGAGACATGTAGTCCTGTGGTAAGTTACATCCCTTGAACCTCAATTTTTGGCCGGTGAAATCCACACTTTTGTTGAATTCCCAAGGTTTTGGTTGCCCAAATGCCTCAAATCATCTCAAATCCTTATTTTTCAGCGATATAAATCCCATAAATGTATCTTATGTATCTTAATCCTACCCGAATCAATTCTTTGTGCAGCTCTTGGGCCATTGTTCGAGCACTTCACCAGGCAATCCTCCATCGTCTCCGTCTATGTGAACTCCGACAGGTTGCGCGAGGCGGCGGAGGTGGCAGAGGAGACGTGCCCCGGCGGAAAATGCCAGTTTTTTTTTGGGAAAAAATGGTAATTTTTCCGGCAATTCAATGGTAATTCAATGGTAATTCAATGGTAGTTCAATGGTAATTCAATGGTAATTTTTGGGAAAAATGGGATTTCACCAATTTCATGGTGATTCAATGGTACTTGTTGGTCACTAATGCCTAGCAATAGTTTGATCATCGTGACCGTGTGGGAACATGGGGATGGTTTAGAGCACCCGTAAAAATGGTGATCATTTTGGGATGGTTTCTGAAATTGGGGTTACCACATTGGGCCATGGCATTGGTTAACTGGTTCATAGTGTGTATCTGATGGGCTATAAATAAGATTAAATAACACAGTAACCAATTATCTCGTCCCATGGCCCGTGTCCCAGGAATGGTATGTGGGTCAGTTCATCCCAGTGAATTCAGTGCGGTAAGTAGGGGCAATGTCCAGCGAGATATGCACGGATCCTAACTGGGATGAGCCAGCAAGCAATGAAATGGGAGATTTAACCAGCACAGAGATTGAAACCCATTTATGGCAATTTTTAGGGGGAACATTATGATTAATCAGTGGGTATTAGAAAAACTATGGATACTCCTTGGGGATTTTCTGATTCATCAACATTGGGGTATGAAACCAACCACAATGGGAAATGGGGATAGACTGGGAATATACAGTAACTACTGTATATTTTGATATATATATATAGTCAGCAATCAACCAGGGATATATCTACCTATATATATATACACATACATACATACATACATAACATTACATTACATTACATTACATTACATTACATTACATTACATAACATACATACATACATACATACATACATACATACATACATACATACATACATACATACATACATACATACATACATACATACATACATACATACATACATACATACATACATACATACATACATACATACATACATACATACATACATACATACATACATACATACATACATACATACATACATACATACATACATACATACATACATACATACATACATACATACATACATACATACATACATACACACACATAATTGTTTTTCACCGTCAACAATGGGGATATTTATCCAGATGTACAAGCAACAGTTGTTTGACAAGTGCTATACCCCTCAAAATGGCGTATTCATCCAGAACACGATGATTTTTTGGCACCCTATTTCAGACACACCTGTATCCCTATTTATCTCCAGCTAACATAGACCCTGCAAGTCGTGGGAGTTGGGAGACAACAAGTGGGTGATTCTCAGAGTCTATGTTCGCCGAGGGGATGGTCTTTGGGTAAAGATGTGCTTGGAGGAGTCTACAAAGACTTAACCCAGCTATAAATGGGATATATATATATATTCAAATCAGATTCACCAAAATTTCAGTCACCAAAGTATCTTTATGCCGTCTTTGCAGCCACATACTTGAAGTCTGCTAACATAGGTACACATAAACAGCTACTGTACATCATGCATTGTCTGTCATCGACGCCGAGGTTGAAAAAGATCCGGAGGCGGTCACCCACAAGGCTGTTGAAGTGTTGGGAGACTTGGCCAAACATTGCCAGATTTCACCATTTTTCTCCATGCCCCTGGACGCCGCAATGTTACAGCCTCTCTACTAGTGGCAACCCACCAGCAGGCCATTCCTAGTTCAAAATCTAGTAGCCATTGTGGCCCTTTTAATCTGGGTTCCAACTTTAGTCATAGTTTTGTCATTTAGAAGTTTGGGATTTTGATACGAAGCCCTCTCCGCCTATTTGGGGTAATAAAAGGCTGAATTTCGTGCGTTTCTCAGCACTTTCCCCTTCTATAAATCACCTAGCCCGAGAGTTTTCTGCCAAATCATCGTTGTCAGTGCATGTATAGATACTATGCACACAAATCACCCCAGTCAAGCTTAGGAGAACGACTTGCTTCAAACCCTGGCGAAGATCTACTTGAAGGCTGAAGAGGCCGAACAAGCCGAAAACATCATCGAACAAGCGCTGAAGTTGGCCGACGACCAGAAGGCCACGTTGCGGCTGGGGAAGATCTTGAGGTTAGTGGGATGGGCATGCTCTTGTTCATGAGATTGGTGATTGGGGAGTTTTTAAAACAGGAGCCTCAAAAAAGATTAGATTTGGCTCTTCAATTCATCGTTCGCTGTAGATTTTCCCTGAAAGCCACGGCAGTGAGTATTGCATCCCTATGATCAAGTCCTTGGGTACTGCCCACTGCGGCACTTGCAGTCGTCATGAGGGTAATGAGTCCTCAATTCTTCCCTCAATGTACCTTCACCTACTGGTAGACCTGGACAACAGGATACAAATATACATACATGTTTGTGCCAGCGAGAGGGAAACCGCGTCAGTAGTCGTGAACGTTTTTGAAAACACACATCTTTGACCGGGTTGGGGGGAGGTGTTAACGTTCATGTTAACTTGCGTCACATGCACATGCTACGTCACGTCACTGGGTTGGGGGGGTGTTAACGTTCATGTTAACTCGCGTCACATGCACGTGCTACGTCACGTCACTGGGCTGGGGGGTGTTAACGTTCATGTTAACTTGCGTCACATGCACGTGCTACGTCACGTCACTGGGTTGGGGGGGTGTTAACGTTCATGTTAACTTGCGTCACATGCACATGCTGCGTCACGTCATGTTAACTTGCGTCACATGCACGTTCTACGTCACGTCACTGGGTTGGGGGGGTGTTAACGTTCATGTTAACTCGCGTCACATGCACATGCTACGTCACGTCACTGGGTTGGGGGGGTGTTAACGTTCATGTTAACTTGCGTCACATGCACGTGCTACGTCACGTCACTGGGTTGGGGGGGTGTTAACGTTCATGTTAACTTGCGTCACATGCACGTGCTACGTCACGTCACTGGGTTGGGGGGGATGTTAACGTTCATGTTAACTTGCGTCACATGCACATGCTACGTCACGTCACTGGGTTGGGGGGGTGTTAACGTTCATGTTAACTCGCGTCACATGCACATGCTACGTCACGTCACTGGGTTGGGGAGGGTGTTAACGTTCATGTTAACTTGCGTCACATGCACATGCTACGTCAATCTACGTCACGTCACTGGGTTGGGGGGGTGTTAACGTTCATGTTAACTTGCGTCACATGCGCATGCTACGTCACGTCAGTGGGTTGGGGGGGGTGTTAACGTTCATGTTAACTTGCGTCACATGCACATGCTACGTCATGTCACTGGGTTGGGGAGGGTGTTAACGTTCATGTTAACTTGCGTCACATGCATGTGCTACGTCACGTCACTGGGTTTGGGGGGTGTTAACGTTCATGTTAACTTGCGTCACATGCACATGCTACGTCACGTCACTGGGTTGGGGGGTGTTAACGTTCATGTTAACTTGCGTCACATGCATGTGCTACGTCACGTCACTGGGTTTGGGGGGTGTTAACGTTCATGTTAACTCGCGTCACATGCACATGCTACGTCACGTCACTGAGTTGGGGAGGGTGTTAACGTTCATGTTAACTTGCGTCACATGCACATGCTTTGTCACGTCACTGGGTTGGGGGGGTGTTGACATTCATGTTATCTTGCGTCACATGCACATGCTACGTCACGTCACTGGGTTGGGGGGTGTTAACGTCATGTCTTGGGTATCCCCTTGCTGGCATCATAAATGTAGGATGGGCACAGATGTAGATACATATAAAAAGCAGATGTTGATATTTATTTAAAATAGATGTTGATACATATGTAAAACTGTCGACCCTGAGCTTCATGTTGTCAATTGTTCTTCACTTTGTTGTATGTCTCTTCTTCATTTAGCCTCAAGGGTTCCTGCAACATCTTGTGGCAGTCCCCTGGCCAAAAAACCATGTTGATCACCAATGGGGCACCATGCAATCCATCTTTAAGTCACAAGTTTGGTTGGCACCATGAAGCTTGCAGCCACTCTAAAGGGGTGTTTTGTATACAGAAACGAATCAGAAAAAAACATGTTCTGATTCACACAGGTGGGGTCGATGGGATGTGGCGACTGTCAAAGTCGGCCATACCATGTAGTCTCCCGACCAGAACTAACCGCCATGTGAACCTAAAATTGATGCGAAGCATCAGGGTGTGGCAATGGCGTTGGATGAACTCCAAAACCAAAAGCCTTTTGGAGGTCACTGGTCGCTCCTTGAAGAAGCGCATGGCGATGTGAGAGGGAAAAACATCGCGCACCTTTTCAAGAACAAATTCCCTGTAAATTACAGGACATCATCATAAAAGCACTTCAAATTCCCGGGGAATTTTAAGTCTATTTTGGGGAATGAATCAGTAGTTTCGCTTTGGCGAAAACGACATTTTTTTCAAAACGTTCAAAATGCTGGCGCGGTTTTCCCCCCGACGGGATGTTTGTGTATACTCGTCCTACCCCGTGAAACAGGAACCTACTCCTACCCCGTGAGACAGGAACCTACTCCTACTCCGTGAAAAAGGAACCTACTGCAAATTGTGAGACAGGAATCTGAAACCTGGCATGTTCGAAATGCGATGTGGGAAAAAAGTATTGTCCAGCATGATCTTCATATGAACAAGTTGAACAAGATTGAAACTGAATATGCAGAGTGTGAGTATGTCATTGATGGCGTTAGTGCCCCCCCATCGCCCCCACCAACATGACATGGATGTCAGCATGATTTTACTTTCAGTACCATATGATTGTCCTCCAGTTGTTCTAAAGAGTTAGAGAAGCCTAACTATACGACGTACATATTCACCTCCCATATTTAGATCTATATAGTAGTTGGGGAACCTAGATATAAACTAGGTCTATCTACATATTTTTATATCTATATCTATGTCTATGTCTATATCTATATCTAGAATATACATCATATATATACATCTATATATATATATATCTCTCTCTATATATATATACACATATTGTATATACCAACTCTTGATGCCACCCTCACCTCTGCCACCAGGATCGAAAGTCCCTGGCTGCTGCGTATTTGTTGAGCTCCGAGCTGGCTCTTCTGAAGTGGCTCAACTGAAGTTTCTGTACGCCGTAGAAATGGAAAATGGGTAGATCATTGGTACCATCATTGGTAAAAAATGATAATTGAATATCATGGATATGCCTAAAAAAACCTGATCATCATACTATCATTTGTTTTTCAACTGGAGAAATTTCTCTTGGAGTGTCTTGAATCTGCCCCAGAAAGATGGAATAGTTTTCTTTGGGAATTCCAATTTTCAATCATTTGTTTCTTCGACGTATCTGGGTGGTCCACATCCGGCGTGGACCGCAGATGCCGCCTGAGATGTGGGTGAGGCTCCCGAGCGATGCTTTCCCAAGGTTTTTTCTCCAGAGTAACAGTTTTCACATTTCCCCCAGTGTTTGGAAAGATTTCTGCATCTCTTTGTGTTTTCGCTCCTGCAGTTCTCTCGTTCAAAAGTTGCACCTGAGAGAAACTGAGTGCGTCCGATTTTCCGAACTCAAGATGGGTATGTCTCAAAATCATCTCAAGGTCATCACCCCCAACAAATTGCATATTCCTTGGATAGTTTGGATCCGTTTATTTTTGGCGAATCTCCATCCACCGAGGCGGGAGAATCGTCTGGGTCTGAAGGCTGCGATGAAGTCGCGGGATTTGTCGCGGAAGACGGGCACCAAGAAGGGCGAGGCGCCGGTGCCCCCAATGAGTTGGGCCCCTGGCCCCTAAAAAAACTGGGTGAAGATGGCACTTTCGTGGTGACCACTCCCATTTTCATTTTTTCATGTTTTTTTTCGTTGCTCAAACCACATGGATTCCCCAAGTTTGTTTCCAGAATCCAAAATCTCCCGATCCCTTCGGTTTGCAGGCTATGCTCAAGCCACCATCCCTTGCCAGGCCTCAGCGCTGTTGCAGCTATGCTCCGCCTACTGCGCGCGAGGCGAGCTCAAACGAGGCCTAGGGGGCCAGGAACGTGGGGATGTCAGACCTATACGGCACTTTCCATGAATGGGGGATCCTCAATAGCTGGATGGTTTATAATGGAAAATCCTATGAACATGGATGATTTAGGAGTACCCCCATTTTAGGACACCTCCATATCGATATCTCTCTCCAACAAAGTTGAATGTAGATGCATACATGTGATATACATACAGTAGGTACATATATGCTTATAGTACGTTTACATATACGTAGATACAATCTTTGAAAGAACATTCTAAAGGCCCTGAAACTCTTGAATGTAGAAAGATTCAGGAAAGACGCCAAAATTGATTTTGCAAAGCACCCAACGGAATCTCCCCTCTGGTAGACAAACCTCGCAGTGGAAAACATCCCATTTGCCTCCATTTACTAAGTACGTTTGTTGTTTCTGAAAAGTGAAAGATTTCTTTCCTCCGTTTGCCGGAGGACAGGGTATTCATTTGGTCTTGTGGATGACCAGAATCATCAAGTTTTTGAGAGGTGCCTGTGGTTATGCGGTCACGAAAGGTGGACAACTCCATGCGACTCCATCCATCAGGTGCTGCCGTGACGGTGGAAGCGCAACGGATCTTCAACGCTGTGGGAGATCGTGAGGGGGAAGCCGATGCGCTGAGGATGCAGGTGGGGGCAATTTGGCTGGGAGGCAGGTTGCAGGCGGTGAACATTGCGAAAATGGTGATTGCATAGAAAAAAATAGGGATTGAAGAAGTCAAAGTGGGCGGCGAATTCACCAGCCCCAAGAGTCGGGATTGGAGCAGTAATCATGGTAGAACCATGGTCAATGGATACTCAATGGCATAGTCGTCTATGGGGAGAGATTGGATGCCGACAATCAGTGATGATAGACTGTTGAATACACTCGGGTAATTTGACATAGCTATGGCCAATGCCACATTTATAGACGTTTTACCTATAAGAATAGAGATTTTCCATAGCTATTTGAAACTACCAGAGTAGCCGGAAGAAATATCTTACTTGAGTGGCTCATGGATGAAGGAGTTTACATTGATGATATTAGATTATCCAACAGGAATGCCTGTCATATCAGGAGTGTAGAGTGAGTTTTACGCTGTTGAGTCAAAACGTTGGGCGCCTGGTGCTTTGGTCCGGGCTGGTCATTTTGATTTGTGGATGGCGGAATCTATAGTGGATTTGTGTCAGCTTGTGCATCCTATTCCAAGCTTGTGTTGGGTTTTATTTACCTGAAGCCCAGTTTGGATCTCCACTAAACTGCATCAGTTGCACCATTCGCAGTCCAGACAGTCCAGCTAGCCTGCGACGAAAGGCTGAAGTTCGACTGCATTTAAATGACTTCACACGAGCAATTGCAGCGTGCAGAAGGTGACACGCGGCGGGGAGAATGTACGGCTCGACACAAAGACATAGCGATAAGATCTGATAACTACATATGTACTCATTATTCGTAATCTTGTATTAATATGTATTGAGGACAAATAATCATTATTTCATGACTCATAAGCATTAACTATTATTATCATATCAAGAGTGAATTGTCACCAGTAGTAGTCATTCTCATGACGACTATTTCATAACCACTATCACTACAGCAAGCCTCAAAATGATAGAACAATAGAAAAGTCTTTCCAGAAGTTTCGTTTTTCATAAGTATACATCAATGATACGGTGGGTGGAAGAAATCCTGCACCACCTTGGATGGTTGAAACCCAAACAAAATAATGGGATAAACCACCTATCAACTGGTGCAGGATTTCGCAACCATCCACAGTATTTCCCTGAATTTTGGGGTCTCCAACTGGATCTGGGACCAACTTTTCAGCTCCACGGCTCCACAGCCTCAGGTGTCGAGAGCTGCAACGTGAGATGGGAGATCGGAGAAGTGAGGCCTGGGCCTGCACCTTGGGCTCGGACATAGAAATCTGAAGCGACGAAGACACATCGTGCAAAAAAAAATGTCTACACTATATATATATATATGCATACATACTATTATTTATATACATAATATATGTATATATGTATGTACCAAATAACCAAATATTTTTGGGTTGATTGATCTAAGTGTTCCTTCTCAGGAACTCAGTGATTTTATGTAGTGATGGAAGGGAACATCTGCATGATGGCCATAGTTTTTACCATCAACTATTGGGATGCAATCGTGGCTTTTGTCAAGCATCGGTGGGTTTCAACTGCCAAACATTCCCTCTAACGTAGGACTAAGTCTGCGATACTGGGCTTGAACGGGATGTTCATTTGGTGTTGTGACCGCGAGAAGACGTGGAACTTGACAAAGAAACTGATGGAGAATTAAGAAGCCAGGTGCTTGCAGGGTTGGGGTCGTATATCTCAGGTATTCAACTGGCGCAAACTTTGCTGTCGGCAGCTTCGGAAGAAGAGAAACAGGAGATGGCTGGGCGACAGGAAATGGGGTTCCAAAGCCTTGGCTCGAGCATATGAGCTCTCAACCCAGTTAGAGTATCCATCACCGCTATGGCTCAAGACGACTCAAGACTGATATGGCAGGTGTGAGTCGGTAACTTTGTAACTTCCAAGGCAGTGATGTGAATAGATGAGCGCATGGAGACAGACAGACAGACAGACAGGCAGACAGGCAGGCAGAAAGGCAGACAGGCAGACAGGCAGACAGGCAGACAGGCAGACAGACACAGACACAGACACACACAGAGACACACACAGAGACACACACAGAGACACACACAGAGACACACACAGAGACACACACACACGTCGTATTTACTCATAGAAGAACGTATGCACCCATCATCATGCATCTAGAGAAATATATTTCCTTGCATGAATATATATATATATAATCATATACATGTGTATATATATATATATACACATTCCTTTATATATAGATCCCTTAAGCAATGTGCCCAATATCGAACTCATCTAAATGTAGAATGATATTTACATCTATACATATATAGAGCATATCTATGGTTGAAAGTCTTGGTATGTGCACATATACATATATATATATACATATACATATATGTATATATATATACACATATATATATATACACATGGCCAGCAAAGGGGTGCTGCCGGCGAAGTGGATTTTCACTACACAGGGCCAGTAACTTGGCTGACGAGACTTGTTTCCAAAACATAAAACCCTAAACCCTAAATCCTAAAGCATAAAACCCGAGTTCCAAATCTGCTATTTAACCCTAAGTCTTGAGAGGATCTTATAAAAACCGTGGTAACCCTTAAAAAAACACATATGAAACCTTAAAGAGTTGGTCCCATGATCCCATAACCTCTGGGCGGCACCCCCGGCCTGCGGGTATATATATATACATATATACATACATATACATAGATATATAGATATCCAGAACTTGGAGTTTATATCCAATATTCTCCAAGAATTTCCAGGACTTGTTGTTTTTTATTGGCCGCAGGAGATGGATCGTCGAGCTAAGGCGAAGGAAGAAAAGGTGGGGGCTCCGTGGCCCAGGGAATGATGGGAGCCAACCAGAAGACATGGGGAATCATGGGAATTTAATGAGTCCTTGAATTTGACAGAAAATGACCCAATTTTAAACTAAAAACTGAAAACTCATCTTCAAAAAGCCTATTTGGCAGGGTCTATGTTACTTGGAGGGATGGTATATGGTTTTATTATGCCCATGTAGTCCTGCTTTTTGATTACCATAAAAGGTCTAATTACTCTTATCCGGTTGTATCCCCAAAATTATAATTACATACATATAAATAATGAATCATAATAATGGGAATTTAATGAGACAATAATCCTTAAAATTGGGATTGCCATAAAGCATATGATGGGGGATCTCCAGCATGGGAACAGCACGGAAAAACATATGAGTTATTAATCAAACCCTAGTATACATGGAGGGAATGGATATTCCGTTTGCCAGCTATTTTGGTGTGAACAGAGGGGTATTGGGGTATCAGGGTTTTGAGCCCCTGTAACAATCATGAGGATATCGTAAGAATATGACGTGGTGCTGAGGCGACTGGAAGAAGTAGACAGCAATAGCCACTCGGTAGAGAGGTTACGTTCATTAGGTTTCATTCTGAAATATGGGGTGTATCCAAGACTTGGGAACTCGACGCATCCATTCTTTTCTAAATTTCCAGTTTCTTTTGTTTCCATCCTCAGAAATGCCAGGCTCGCAGCGAAGGCAAAGAAGTGGAGGCCCGGACCGGCAGACCCAAATGGCATTGGCATCAAAATCTATTCAATCTATTCTACCACATTTCGGGGGGACATGCATTTACCAGTTTTCTCTTGGGACGCACCAGGATTGAGGAGGAGAGGGGTACCACGCTTTTGACCCACCGGATCACCCAAATAGAAGTAGAGGATTTTTCCATTGATGTTTGAGGATGAGCAGTTGTTGAACGTTTTGTTCCCGGCCCCAGCATGTCCTAGCAGTTAGCATGTGTCAACTTAGTGATTGTACTGAATTGTACCTGTATGATCAACAACCTCAGCTTGCCACTTTCGCCAAAGAAAACCACCTTGCTATCGCCCTCCCAGGAGCCCAAACAGCGTGAAGCGGATTGGTTTCAAGCTGCTGAAGAGGTCGCTGGGGGCTTTGGGATGGCCTCAGAGAGGACGTCGGTGCGTCAGTGGGGTGTAAATCCCATCCTGGCAGGCGCCTACAGAGGAGCCGGAAGAGAGGCGCCGGGAGTTGGAGACCTTTCGATGTTCCAATAAAGTGTCTTTGGGCGTTGCGCTGTGGCAATAAATTGGGAACGTCTCCCCAAAAGATTGGGGACTAGTGACATCCAATAAAAAATGAATTATCACTATCATTGCCTTGTTGGATGCGCATGGGTACCATTGGATCCATCCTCTCCCCGGGAGGCCCGCAGCCGCGGCCTTTGAGCGAGCGCTACAGTCAGCCAAGGATGCGCTGAAGATCTCCAGTCCATTGGAGGCCAGGTTAAGGGGGTTTCCGTGTTTTTTTTGAAAGGAAATTGAAGGAGTTGATAGTAAACTTGGATGTTCAGGCGATATCTTGTTACTCCACTTAAGGGGCTGCTGAATACCAATTTCAGAGTTCTGACCGATTCCTTATTGGATTGGTCGAAGGACATTTTGTATATAGAAATCCTTGTTTTGTTTCCCAATAGAGAGGTTTCCTGTACTTTTTCTTGTTCCAAGCTATGCCATAGTTGCGGGGGTGAACATCCACCTGGCACCAAAAAATCAACATGTTTTAGTGGACAACACCATCTATGCATGGGTCAATTTTGCCGGTCATGTTCTCAGTCAGAATATTTTTCTATGAATGGAAACCTGTTGAAATAGTGCCATTCCCAAGTAATTCCCAAGTAATTAATAGAACCATTGAAACCATTCATAACCTCCGTGGGCCATTTTCCCATTTGGAGGGTACCATTCCCCGATGGCCAAAACAACCCCTGGTGGTGGATGATGTGCCAGGATGACGCGCTGCTGGTTCGGGCGCTGTTACTTGGCAGCGGGACATTTTGAAGGATTTCACTTTTCTATTTCTTTTAGGGGCTTATATGATACGTAGATACAGACATGGATATATAGTACGCACAATAGACATAGACCTACGTATTTATGATAATAGTGATGACGACAATGAACATCATATTAGGAAGAATGACACTCAAGAATGATAAGCATCAGGAATGACAGAAAATTGAGAATTAAGCAAACGACGACAATTACAAAATACCATTACAAGCCCAGAGCGAAAACAGAGTAGCCGTCGACGACAACCTCTGTGGTGATTTTGATGCTAACAACGACCACATCAAACTGATCATCCCCTGGATAGGCGACAACACCCTCCTTGACGTTGGTATATATATATATATACACATATGATATATGTATATTCCAATCTAAATTAGGGATATACTGTTATACTATATATATATATTATATAATATGTATATCTACATAATTCTACATAATTCTACATGAAACACCAACAAATCTGAGGATGATTCCACTTCAGTCACTTCAGCTTGCTGTATTCCTTTAGGTCGCTGTGGATCGTCACATCTCCGCTGTGAGGTTGTCCCTGGCCACGGCCCACATGATGTGCCTCGAGCCAGAAGACTCCCAGAAGTACATCGATGAAGGCCTTCCCCTGGCGGAGATGCTTGGCAGCTTGAGACGATCCCCGGACTTTCAGAGCTGTGCTTTTATCCTGGAATAAACAGATTTGTATCCCAGCTATATATATGTAAATACACATATATGTGTGTATATATGTGTGTGTATATACAAAGATGTATATGTCCCAGCTATACGGATTATGTCCCAAATATATACCGGTTGTATCTAAATCGAAAGGGGTCATATCCCAGCTAACAATATTTTGTCCACTTGCCAACTGGGATGCATATCCCAGCAGATCTTTTGTCCCAAGGTCAGTAAACGATGCCTCTGCTGAAGGGCATTTCTACTTGCTGAAAGCTCAACTGGCCGAGTTTGAGGGTGCGAAGCGCTATCCCGAGGCCCTTCCGCAGCCGTGGAGGAGTTGCGATCCCATGTGGCCTGATCCTTCCCAAATGGCTTGCCTTCCCACTGAAATAAACCTTTGTGGTGTGTTTTTTTGCAGGTACCCTCCGGTACTCCAAGGCAATGGAATCCCCGATAAATGGAGGTTTTAATATAAATTTCAAGGAGAAAAACATCTATATAAATGCTGGAATATGCAGCCAGCCATGTTTGATTAGAGGAGGCTACTCATTTTGGGACGCCCTGCAGGCCAAGGAGTTTAGCAACAAAGCTCTGCAGATCTTCCAGGCAGAACACGATCAGTCAGGGCAAGATGCCGTGGAAGCGATTCTGAAGAGGACACGACACGGGCTGTGGTGTGGAACTTCCCCAAAAATGCTCCTGAAAGATCTGAAAGACACGTTTTTTTCGCTGAACATGACTTTGTCCGATTCCGAGGATCTGTCCTGACGTACACAGAACATGGCCCCAGCACAGGATCACTCCCAAGACTGTGGGTGTTCGACCCACCACTACGGGTTCGATGAGCTACTTTGGTGGCGAGGGTGAGGACAGCTTCAGTAGCTTCAGCAGCTTCACTCTGGCTGTTGAATAGCCCATTTGCTACTTGTTGGAAGACCACACCTGGCATGTGATGTCCTTCTCCAACAAGTTGTCCACAGGTGGTCTTTGGTAATGGTATATGGAGCATTGGTGTTTGTAGAACAACTGTGCTTCTGTTTCGTTCAAGCGCCTGCATATATCCTCAATAGAGTTGAAAAGGGGGACAACTATTGTAAAATGTTGCAACGACTAGTTTGTTTGGAGTTTGTGGTTTCAAACATTTTGCACTTTTCCCTCCTGATTTTGTATGGTACAAAACCCCAGAGTTTTTTGAGGCACCTTTGGGAACTCAGCGCAAGGAGATGGAAGAATACTGGGAGGAGGAAGTCTATGAGGAAGTTGTAGGAGGTGGAGGCCGTGGGCCCACGGTCCTTGGGTCCTTCATGGGGGTTGATCGGTTGATCATCACAGGATTTTCATCCCATCACTGCACTGCCCTTGGTCCCCTTGGTAGGAGGAGGTGGGGCTGTGAGCCAGTACAGTGGGCCAAGTAAAGAAGAGGTGGTCTCCACTGTGAGTCTCTTCGGCTGAGTGGCCAGGGCTGGTTGGGGTGAAGCCTCTCCGGCCTGCAGTTGATTCGAGGTTCTATCCTTGTGTGGTTGTCCGAAGAATTTCCCAGGGGGTGCAGAGAAAATCTGATCAATCTAGGCTGTCTTCCAAATTCCCATTTTGTACTTTTGCAGCGGATAAGATGAGTGGCATGATATGGACATGGAACAGAAACCTGGTACTGTTTTGAACACCTAAACAGCTGGAAAATCGATGTTCATCCCCCAGAGTTCATCCATGCCAGTACATTCACCCATTGGATACGCCACGACCCAAAAGCTTCAAGTGCTACTATAGTCTTGTTTGTTGAATCCCCATTCTTGGTGTGGATTGTATCCTCATCATTGTTGGTTCGTCACCTGGTAAACCCCCAGTTTAAACCCTCATGATCGGCCCAGATCTTGCAGTGCTTCCCTGAGGCGACGTAGCCTTGGGCCTCATTGGTGTGGACAAATTGGACATGGATGAGCCCTTGATGGATGCTGGACTAGTCCCTTGACGCTACTGGGGACTTTCCAGTACCTGGCATCGAGTTTCACTTTGTCAAAAAGATTGAGGGAAGGTTGAAAAATACCCAGCAGCTTTGGGGAAGACTCCGCTTTTTTGAGAGTTTCGAAGACTTGAGGAGTTTCAAAGTACACGGAACCTTTGGAATACCTTAGAGAAATTCCAAATTTTGCGCAAACCTGGCCCCTTTGTCAGCCACATGCAAAGCCTTGGCTGAACTTGAGGACAGCCTCGCTGCAGTGGAGTTTGGGAACACATTGGCAAAGGAGTTTTCAGGCCAGGCAGAGTTGCTGGCTTGTTCCCAGCTGAGAATTGACACATCCAGGCTGTCCAGGAATTTTCCGGTAAGGTTTTGGACTTTGCCATCATGGCCATCCAGGAATATTGAAGAGTTTCCAATCCCTTGGTTTCTCATCACCACGCAGTATGCCTTCAACATCCTTCAACTATGACGGGGCGCAAGTAAAATTGAGCTTAATGAAACATCATTTGTGGGCATGTTTGAGTTTTGACAGATGTTCATAGCTGAGGCAACCGCAGGCAACCTATCAGACCTATCAATCCGGGGTTTCCAACCCTGACCCAAAGACCCAAAGACCACAGCAGCCGCTCTCGGCTTGGTAAACGTGGCAATTTGGGCAGGGGTCCTCCATGTTCAATGGGATTCGGCAATTGCATTCCCTGGTTGCTGTGTCGGCCTTGGAGATTTCCAACAAAGTTGGGATCCAGTCATACCATGTCATACCCAAATGGGGGTTTCTTGAAATGGGGGATCCCCAAAGTCTGGAGGAAACCTCCAAATCCTTACCATTGACATCCTCTAAACTCCGACATGACTCGCAGGAATCTCCTTGCCTTCCACCATGATGTTCGATTTCCCATCCGTGAAGTTGCTGTCCGAGTTCATTGAGAGCGGCATGCGCGAGAGCCACGACAAGAGCCAAGCAGCGCTGGGAAATACGGGCGGAGGTGGAGGCCATGGCTCTGAGCTGTGATAATATGGAGCAAGGACAAGCAAACATCTGGCTCCCTCAGTAGTAAAGTGGGGAATTCTGAGGTGGAGTGCTGCAGCTGCCATTTTGTTGGTGATGGTTCATCATGAAAGGACTGTTGCTCTTTTGGCCAACAACTAGCCAACAACTAGATTCAGGAACACTGGAACTGGGCTGGATTCGCCGCAAATACTGGTAGAACGGCAAAATCTCAAGAAAGGGTGGTGATCAAGAGACATCCGAACTGTATTCCAAAAGTTGCAATCTGAACAGCTCACCATTGATCCCTGGTTTCAACAGCACCACACCGCTCCGAGCAACGCAGGTGGGCAAGTGGTGAAGAAGACTCGCATGGTGAAGAAGTTTCGCCCGAAGCCCCGAGCCGCGCGACAGGCGCCGCCGCCACGACAGATGCAGTTCAACCAACAGGCCGAACTGCAGATTCCACAGCACATGGGGGCCATGGCGCCGAACATGACAGCCATGGCACCCCAAGCTGCATCGGAGCTGTCTGGCTCTGGGCCCTACAAAGGCACAGATGGGGGGACTTGGACTCCCAACGAAATGGGGGGTTCATTGCATCCCAAAGAAGTTGAATTCTGATGGATTTTGGCCAAACAAAAATGGAAACTTTCGTAGATGATGCCTATAGGGAATCTGGCTGACACTCTGAAAACAATAGACTTGGGTGTACTGTTCAGGTCACACCTTTTGAATGTCCCTTGAAACAAATTCTGTTGGCTCTTTCGGGCCACTGGTCCATCTGCTAGTTTGGTGACCTGGAACTCCCGACAGATCCAGACCCGCTTTCTATTGCCCTTAGATTCGCCCTAGATGTCCTTCGCCCACTTCATGGATAAATGGAGATAGGTACCCGGGTACCCCGATGCCCATATTTTTTTGGATCCTCATGTTGGTTGATGAAAAATCCCATTGTTGTTGGTGAAGCCCTGTAGCTTTTGGGATGAAACCACCATATTTTTGCAAGTCAAATCAGGCGAAACCACCATCAAAATGTGGATGAAATCCTCGTTGTTGGTTAAGTCCCCATGGCATCCCATGGCCCCATTGTTGATCACAATTTTGGTCAAATCCGTGGTTTTTGTTGCAGGCCCCGCAATCTCCGAGATCGAAGAAATCGTGAAGGACACTGCGCTGTCCCTCATCGGGGTGGAAAGCCTTGAGAATGACGAGCCCCTGATGGACGCTGGTGCCCCGGCGTGCCCGGCGAGGAGCCGGGCCCCCACGCCTAATGGTGGTTTGTTGGGGTGTCATACTGACAGCTCAGGGCCAAAGTGGTCACTTCTGAATATTCTAGACTATGAAGAAGTCTATATAGAATCGAATATTTGCATATATATATATAAATACACACACATATATATATAATGTGTATATATATATAATATGTGAATGTTTCATTTTTTGGCCTGTAAGTCTGAGATTTCTTGATTATGTGGTCATCACCTGAATGCAAATCCTGCTCATGGAGCTGAGGGATTTGAGCAGCTGGATATTTTGCTGTGTCACCGTCACGGGGTACCCCGAATTGCACTATCGTTTCTCATTATCGCATCATTTTTTTGCAAATTTATCAGATTGAATAGTATTCAATGTATATATATATATTATATGTACTGTACATATATATATACATGTTTTTCATATTATTTTCCCACATATCTCAATGATATCCCATTATTATACCATTACCTAGTGCTATCCCGGCGGGGTCCCAATGTGGACCCGGCCGGACGAGGCTTAGATAGCCTCGCCGCAGTGGAGTTTGCGAACGCCATCTCCAAGGATTTCGCGGGACTTCAGAAGCTCGGCCATAGACCTGGTGAAGGAGGTCCAGATCAAGTCCATTATATACATATATAATTATATACATACTGTTAAGTTATGTTGTGTGTGTGTTTTTTTTTTCCAATAATGTAATGTATGTAATGTATGTCATGTATGCAATGTATGTAATGCATGCAATGTTATGTTATGTACTGTTGTTGTACTGTTATGTCATGTCATGCCATGTCATGTTAGGTAATGTCATGTAATGTTATGTGATGCGTGTGATGTGATGCTGGGTGATGTCATGTGATGTGACGTCATGTGACGGCATTTGATGTCATGTGATGTAATGTTAGGTACCGTTTGTAATGTTATACAATGTATGGTAATGCATGTAATATATGTGGTGATTGCCCTAATGTATCCAACGCAATGGTAATGAATGGCAACGGTAACGGTAACAGTAATGGTAATGAAAATGGTAAATGTAATGCAAGGTAATGTAATGCAATGTAATGTAGTGTAGTGCAATGCAATGCACTGTAATGTTATACAATGTAATGTATATACTGTCATGTCATATGATGTGATATGATTTGACGTCATGTATATAATGTCATGTAATGTAATGAAATGTACGTATGCATGTGTATACCTATATGTATTTATACAGTTACACGTGATTTAAGTCTCTGAAACTGGATAGTTCAATGGTTCAACAAAAAGGATTACCTGTTTGTGGTTACAGTGTTCCCCCGGTTGAGTGGCAGCAGGCCCCTGTGGTCCGCGGATAAAATTGTGAGTTCCCAATCCTTTCTGCTGTTGAACCTAGCCGAGCCATGTACCGGTTAGGTTTGTTTTGAAAACGATCCCCGATTTACTGCTTTGTTTGAGTTTATCCCTAGCTCGTTCTCGGGCTGGGCGTGTTGAACTTGCTCTATGTGTGGGCATGTTGCCTGAAGCCCTGTGAGTTGTTTTTCCCATCCCAATCAAACTTTTAACAGCTTTCAATGCACTCCCAAATTTGTAACCCATTTTCGGACCCCAACAATCACTTGCTTGCTGAGGATGCCCAACACTCTGATGTTCGACTATCCGTCAGTGAAAACCTTGACGCAGTTCATTGACGTTGGGCTGAGGGAAGCCCACGGGGCATAAGGAGCCTGGGCCTTCCGGCCAGCAGCGGCCTGGTGTCGAGGCTGGGGCTGGTGACCAGCGAAAAAGGCAAAACAGTGGTAAGTGATGGATGAAAAAATGATGGCAAGGAAGAAGTGCTTGGTAGTTTGATTTTTGATTTTCAGGTACTTTCCAACTTGGATGATCACTTGAGGAACCTCTTGTTTGAGCTTGGTTCAAGCACCAAGCAGTGAGTTGGGAATAGCGTTCTGTTCCGCTGACACCAACCGCTCTTAGAGTCAACGTTGTGCCGCTCAAAGTCAGCTGAGGACCGCGCATCTGAATTGCAACACGTCACCCCAAAATATAACAGGTCTAACAGGTCACGAATGTCACGAGAATCTCTCAGAGGTATAGTTTTGTTTGGATCCATAAGTTGGGGCTCTCAGAAAAGCTGCCTGAGGCATGAGCTACTGACAACATTGCTTGCTGGTTGTTTCTGTCATCCACTGGGGAAATCTGTGGCATTTAAACCGCTGCTTGTGATGGCAGCCCAGCATCCCGAAGAACTCCTAGGCAAACATAAAGAGTTTGTCGGTAGCTCCTGGAAACATACAGCTACGTGGCCCTTTCCAAGTTCAAATGGGTCTATACTCAACCCTACTTGAGTAGTCTTTGTCAAATGGCTCGGCTCAGCCCACTAGATAGGGGTGCAAATGTCTGCTGGTTAAGCCCACATTGGTTTTGGTGAGCTGTTCCAATCCATCATGCGCCAGCTCAGCACGGCTCTTCATCTTCCGCCGTTGGGGAGGAAAAATGCCAAGCGGCCCTTCAATGAGAGATCGTGCATGGCATGTGGGTAAGCCAAAAAACATGGGAATGTACAGAACGATCATTGATGGCAACAACTAATGATCATTTATGAAACACCAAACATTGCTGCAGCCGCTACTCCATAGCCCCACCTCGTCCCACCTGATCAGCTGCCAGATTGGTGCTTTCCGGCAAGTACAAAGTCATATGGGAGACTTCGTGGGTGACAAGGCAAGTGGGGAGGTACCCTGAGTGGGTCGGCCGAACAGCACCGGTTGCCATTATCTGTTGGTGGCAAAAAAAAAATCAATAACACGGACGTTCTAGTAGGCCTCATAGGGATTATCATGGTAGTATCAGAATCTGAACATTGTGCTTGATTGGTTGTGCCGAAGCGTTTTGTCACAAAAAACGAGTGTGCCAATCCTCCAGCAATGAAATTTGTTTACAACAGTTTAAGCTGAGAAGCCGATTGAGTGTATCAAATCTATATCATACTCCTGGTGAGGTTCAACGAAATTCTTGGAAACCACATATAAAAGACAACAGGCAAAACAATGGATTTGAGGGACCTGACCTCACACAACTGGAGTAGCTTGACAGATCAGGACAGCACAACCATCAGCTCTTGTGGCTCAAGACGCCCTGACCTTCAGCCATGTTGCGCGTGTCTTTAGCCGCGTCTGGCACACAAGTGGCAGTTCTTGATGCCGATAAGTTAGACGAGATGATGCCGCAGGGCACAGGCAGATCTATTCTTGCACTGAAAAAGTATCTCTCGCAGCAAGTTCATTGCTCTAGATTCAGACAAAGAATTCTGAATGGCAGTGCTGTCGAGCTTTGTGATGATCAAGAGATATTCCCGCCGGTGGATTTGCAACTTGTGATTCTTGATTTTTGGCCATCTGAAAAACATGAAGATGCCAAGTTAGTTTCTGCGTGCGAGCAGAATGAGCTTGAAAAAGTTGAGGTGATGCTTCAACGGCCACAGGACCCTGACGCAAGAGATCGTGATGGGTGGCCAGCACTACACTTTGCAGCACGGGTGGGCAACGCAAGCTGCATGGAATTGTTGCTTGAGTCTCATGCTGATCTCGAAATTAGGTCTACAGAAGATGGCTCCACAGCTTTGCACTGTGCAGCCTTCAATCGTCATGCCGAAGTTTTGAAATTGCTGTTGGATGCAGGTGCTGACAGAAACACTGCACAGGAAGAAGGAGCAACAGCATTGCATCTTGCAACTTGGGAAGGCCACTTGGAAATAGTAAGGTTGTTGCTAGATGCTGGTGCGGACAAGGACTGTGCAAGAACGAATGGCCGCATGCCTCTGCATCTTGCGGCCTTCAAGGGCCATTTGGAAGTAGCGCGGTTGTTGTTAGATGCTGGCGCGGAGAAGGACTGTGCAACACCAGATGGCTTCACGCCTCTGCATCATGCAGCAAACAAGGGCTATTTGGAAGTAGCACGGTTGTTGCTAGATACTGGTGCTGAGAAGGACAGTGCAAGACGGAATGGCTTTACGCCTCTGCATGATGCGGTAAACATGGGTCACGTGGAAGTAGCGCGGTTGTTGTTAGATGCTGATGCTGAGAAGAACAGTGCAGCCGTAGGTGGTCGTACGCCTTTGCATCATGCAGCTGACAACGGCCATTTGGAAGTAGCGCGGTTGTTGTTAGATGCTGGCGCGGAGAAGGACTATGCAGCACCAGATGGCTTCACGCCTTTGCTTCATGCGGCTTACAAGGGCCACTGGGAAGTAGCACAGTTGTTGATAGATGCTGGTGCAGACAAGAATTCAATAACTGCTGGATGGTTGGATGTTGCACGCGTGTTGCTTTCCGCTGAAGTTGAGATCGATTCGACAGCGGGGATTTGGCAAATGGGCAGGTAGAGGTCGAAAGTCAGTTGCAGTTTGTAGTGTGAACTCTTGGAATTTGGACGGATCTTGCTGCGACATGCAGAAGGACTCTTTTCGTTTCTACAGGTTTCGTACGCCAATTGTTGCGCAGGTGGCCAGAAAAGAACTGCTGTCAGTCGCGTTCACCAAAACTTGTTAGCCCGGTTCAATGAGATGGAGGGTGCTTTGAGAAAGTTGTCAACCCTTCCCAAGTTCTCTCAAGCACAGTTGATTACTTTGGATCTTTGGTATTGCCTTACTAGGGTAAGTTGGGCAAGGGCTCCTCTGAAAACTGGCATGTTGCGTTCTTAAAGGACGAAACAAGTGGCTGTTCCCCCAAAGTCGATCTACACTTCATCGGGCTTCATCAGCCAACCTGGAACTGGAGAATCTTCCAGTCCAAAACCGATGGGTTTTCCGAAAAACCTCAACAGTCGCACGTCATTTTTGTAGGGGATGATTTGTCCAGGTTCTGTGGGGGTTAAAAACTCAAAGTGCCATTTTCATCGGGGGCAGCTGCTGTTTATTTGATCAACCTGATCCACCATTGGAGTTTGGGGCCTGGACGGCCGTTCGTCGATACGGCCAGGTGGAGACGGCCGAACTCAAGGAGCTGTCGCGATACCTGTCAGGGTGCGCCGAGTCGCCATGTTGGTGGATTTGGTGGTTGAGAACCTGTCTTTTCAATTCTTTTCAAATGAATATGCTGAATTGGGGGTATTTTTCATATTTTTGGACAAAGCCATGTGGTACACCTAAGAATAATCTGAAATTGTGGACGGCATGGGATGGCGATATTCTGGGGGCCCATGGATGCCCATGGCATGGGTTCAGGGGATGGGATTACCAACAGAGGACTTGTGGAAATTGTGGTTCTGGCAACAGTTTTGGGATGGAAATTGGGGGAACCCTTTTTTACACATGCCTAAGGGCCTAATCCACCCATAATGGGACCATTGATAATTGTTTTTTTTTCTCTTTAGTTTTGACCCAGATAGTAAATAGAAACATGGTAAAAAATATGATATAATGGGATGACCCGCTGTATGTGGTATCATGGTACTGGCCGTGGAACCCCCGACTCCGCCGGAAAGCGCCAGATGCGCCAGGCTCGTGTTGGCTTCCATTGGTGATGTTTTTGCTGGAGCCAAGAAGATCCAGGACGCCCTGAAAACAACAAATTGAGACCCATTATATATATATATGTATATGTATATAGCAAATCATAGGAAAATCATGGGAGAAATTGGGACAAGACATGAGAGTAGAGATACATCAAAGAAATAAAATGAGACAAATAAGAGAGAGAGAGAGAGAGCGAGACAGACAGACAGAGAGAGAGAGAGAGAGACACAGACACAGACACAGACACAGACACAGACACCCAGACACCACAGACACCACAGACACAGACACAGACACAGACACAGACACACACACACACACACCCACACCCACCCACACCCCATAAACTTTTCCTGGTTTTGGCCGATGACCTAAGATTTTGATGGCAGGGATGCTGACACTACTATTTGTAGCGGATTCTTGTTGTGGATAAGTATGAATAACTACAGACCCCCATCAACCTGCTGTGGATTTCCAGCATCCAACTTGATCAACTTGCAGCATCCAAGTGCCAGGACTGGTTCAAACTAGTGACCAAGATGTTCAACGGTGTGCAGGTGCGAACCGTTTAAATCATCAGAAAAAAACGTGTGGGTTTCAACCGGAGAACCGCCAAAAAAAAACACATTATATATATATATGACAATATACGTATACGAGAGTATATATGCCTGCTATCATCCCATGTGTGAGCACATTTGCTCCAGAGCATTTATGGCTTCTGAGTGTGTCGTTTTGGCCCACCAGCTTAGAGGTCCTTAGGGAGGCCAGCTGGTGGTTTTGGGCAACCCCGTCTAGCAGTTGCTCAGTAGGATATATCTATATATCTACATGTCTATATATGTAATATCTCTATCTCTCTCTCTGTCTCTCTCTCTCTCTATGTATATATATATATACACACACGCCCAAAAGATCCCACTCCTCACATTGCCACCATGGGCCAGGCCCCGGTGGCCTGGATTTCGCCGCTGGGTTTCAGCTGTTCGCAGCCGTACCGCAAAGCCGAGACGGTGCGCATGGCCAGCAAACGTCAGAGCGCCGGGCAGCACAGGGGGGTTCAACCTGGGCTGGAAGGGTTGGGGCGGATGTAGAAAGATATGCTTGGAATGATTGAGACACTGATTTTAATTAAATCTCTTAAATCTGAACCCTGGAAAAGAAATATGTATATATATATACATATAAACATATGTGGAGACCACTCTCGGGGCGGATCGAGATCACGCTGAAGACGGGGGAGCAGCCCATCATGGACAAGGAGAAGCGATCCGATGTTGACAGCAAAACTGGCAGGAAAACCTCTATTGGATGGGTCAAACCAATGGTTTCCTGCCACATTTGGGGTTTTGCTAAACTGGGATTTTGGATGATTTGGGGTACTCCCATTTTCGGAAACTTCCATATCATCAAATATGCCTCAAATCAAACCATTAATTTGCGTCACCCTGAACCCATGGTGTGCATTGAGCTGCAATGGAGCGAAATGCGAGAAAACCACTGTAATACTGAGCTGAAAGGCAAGAGGCCTATCACAGTTTCATATCGAGTTGGTGCAATAGTGTAGCGTTCAGTATGGGTTGATATTTGACACCCGCTGGATGCACTTGAATTGATATGCCCCTTATTCATGGCTGGACAAGTTAGTTTGGGACAGTGACAAGTCTTCGAAGTTGCAGAACATGATCGTGCATTTGGAATCCGTTATGTTCAAACCTATCGCAGAGATTGGATTCGCCGTGTCTGACAAGATTCACTGGCTGCAGTTGCGTTGGACCATCGGCTTTGCCAGGGCAGGCAGAGCAGTGGTTTTCCACCCAACTTCGTGCATTCGCTGGACGTGGCTTGGCCCGTGATCGCATGTAGCCTATGGTACTTGCAGTTTGTAAACTGGAACATCACCATTGGGAACAGGTAAATCATCGAACCAAATTTACGAAATGGCCATGACTTCCAGTTTGCAAACGGGTAAATTACCAGAGGGTATGTTGAAGGGAACAACAAGACAACACCCCCCTGTGGTGTTTGTCGAGGCCACTCACATGATGATGGTGGCAGAGCGATGCCAGAAACAAGGCATTTATTTTGCCGCAGTTTCTTGGTGTCCAAAGGTACGGCGCTGGGAAAAAATCTGGGTGATTCTGGTAGCGCGGAGTTTTTTTGTTTGAAGATGGATGAAACCACACTTGGATGATGCTCAGATTGGGCTTGGATTGTAATCTGTAACTTGTAGCAGTCGCTAGGTAATGTGGTAAACCCAAATATAAACCATCATCTGATAAACCTTTAATTTTGCAGCCCATTCCTGGTCATATTGGAGAAATGGCTTATACCATTGGGTCTACCATCAATTCCAATTTCCATGGCCAACCAATTCCTAAGGTCCATGACTCCTTCTGGACGCACGCCTCTGATGTGCCGTTGCTGAACGAGTCCATTCGTGTGCCAGGGCAGAGAGTCAACGTGGTATCCTGTGACCTCAAAAGGGGTCCAACAAGAAACCAGAGTCTGCCTGGAGGCTTTTTATTAGGGGGCAGGGGGTTCAATTTGCTTTGTTCGGTCTCACATTTCGCGTTCTTCCTGTGGCTCACACCTTCCGTCAAGGTCTTTTGCTCAGCCTTGTGACCATGGAAAGATGCCCATGTGACATCTAATCTCATCCCCATGTGACCTGCCCTGGATGTTAGGCTCCTGAATCGTGAATGTTTAAGAAAGTCGGGCCACAAGTGGACCTACGGTGACCTAAGTGGTAAAATCAGCGAAATCGCTTGCGGACGTTGTCAGGAAGCCTTTGTGGAGCTCTACGAGAAACCGGTCCTGCAGGAGGTCTACGAGGACGCATGCAGTCTCCCTTGCAGGTTTTGCAGGGGTATCCAAAGACTTACTCCACTGACAACTTATTTCTTCATGAGGACCAGCAGCAAGGATGAATTTGACGATATCAGCAATTGAATAAAAATTCAACCACAAATCCAAGACAGATGCAAGTATATTATGGAAATCGACGTGCCTGTGCACGCAGTGCGTTTGCAGACACGCAGAGGCCAAATGGAAATAGTATTGCTCAATAAATCGGGTCTCACCCCCCACATCCACTACTCCCATCCCCTTAATATTCCACACCCCCAAGTCTATAATGATCCCAAATAATCCCACACACATATATAGATATATTATATAAATAGATAAATAAATAATCATATAATTATCATGTATAAATCCGCAGTCATGGTTTCTGGGAGGTGTTTATTAAAAATCCATCAGAATCAGAATGCATTCATTGACCAGTGGAGCAAGGGGCGGTGCCTGCAGGATTTCTGCGTTCACCTCGGAGGGCAGAAAGTTCCACCACTGCCAGAACCAGGCTGCTGGTGTTTTTTTTTTTAGTTCGATGCACGGAACACAACAAAACCAAGTGGTTTGCGGAATCTTTATGTTTTTCGATGAATTTCCTGGGAGCACAACTTTTTTTAAAGAGATTCCTGAAATCTATTGACCCAGTTCCAGGGTTTGAATGCCTTCATTGCTGAACTGCTTGGGACTCTCATGTTTGTTTATGACTAGATGGCATATGCATGTCATAAAACTACAAAGCAAACGAGGAAGGTAGGTTCTGGTTGGGTGGGAGTGACCATACATATTTCGGGGAAGGATCAATAGGTCCCCGAGTCAATTTCCCTCAGATCTGACTCAGGTAAGCTGGACATCTCAGTGGTTAAGAACAGTACGTGCGCCGTTGGGCCTTTTGGAGGGCGTGCGGGGGTCGTGGCAGGTCGAAAGTTCGGATACTGTTCATTTTGATGGATATTGTGTATTTGAAACATCCAAAGAAATCAGGAAGACATGATATTCTGCGATGATTTTCCTTTGTTTTGATGAGTTTTCCTTGGGAACCCACATCAGAAAGACCATCAGCCTTTGTGGAGCAGGTATCTATTTTCCTGACGCAACGTTCTCCGGAATGGCGCACAGCGAGCGATTGCTTTCGTAGAACCCAAAAGATGGGACCCAGGAGCTGGAACAATAAATGAGTTGTCGGGTCAACCCTTATCGCAACCAGCCAGCTGCAGATCGGGTCCCCCCAAAAGGGGGAATACTCTTATACTCCAACATATAATCAATTCATGCAAAAACAATAGGGATAGTGATCATGAGCCATGTGATTCTTGGGTACGCGTCTTTCCGCGCCAACCGTTGTGACAAGGTGGTTGAGGCTGATTAGTGATGTTTGCACCTTCCAGGGTTTGTTCCTGTGTCAGGGCATGGCTGGTTGATACGCGTTGATGGACAAGAAATTGCAGACCAGTGGATATCCACAATACTCTCCCATCCCAATTAGGGCCTATTTTTGGAATGAAATGAAGTGCTCCCCAAATGGTGCCGGAATCATTCTGAATTGCGATCACCAGACTACTGCAAAAACCGACATGTCAACATGGTATCCCCACTGACCACTGGATGGTACATTGGGATATCCGCTGGTTCTGGCCAACTGATCCCTTGAGTTTGGTCATTTTGGTCATTTTGGTCAGTAAAATCTTTAAAATCCCCATGATTTGATGGCATCCCATGGCATCCCATGGATGTCCACCTGCTGCCATCCATTTCCCCCAGCGGCCGGTTGGCGCCGCCATGGTGAGCCTTTCTCAGCGCGCAGAGAGGCATCCGAAGTGCTGGCTTCATCGCCCGCAAATGTTCTGAAGAAATGGAGACACTGGGCGAGCTTGGGAATCTTGAAGGTAACCTACTGTAACATCTGTAACCGTAGTCGTAGTTAGTTTGTGGCAAAGCATTTGTTTTGTTTCTGGGCCAAGAGGCCCCAAATTGCCAAAGGCTGGGCCGGGCAGGTGAAATGAGGCGGCCCATAGATCTGGACTTTGAAACTGAAGAGGTGCCACGGGTGGATCAGAAGCTGGATTTCTACAGTCCAGTGAAACATATGAAAGGCTTGGGTCAGTTTCGAGGGATTGAACAGCACTTATTTGATCTGGTGAAATGCCTGTACTTCCAACATCTGAAGGTTTCAACTTTCAACGATGTATTGATCTTCCAGTCCATCTTTTAGACAATGAATCATAAATCACATTTTTCAGACGGGTTGAACTCACTTTTCCATGGCTTCCCCTTTGACAGAATCTGTTTCTCCACGAACATGTACAGGAACCCCCCGAGGGGCTGGTAAATCCATGGTTCCATTCGCCAGCTCGCGAACCAGCGGCTCCAACAAGTTCTAGCAGAGCGAGCAACAGGTGGACCCAATGAGCAAGTCAGGCACGGGAAATACCTGGCATCATGGCTGCGAACTCCCCCATAGCCGGGCATCTGTTTTTTTTTTTGAGAGCAGCAGGTTGTCAGAGTGCGCTTTTTCATCATTTTTATATATTTTTTTATCATGTTATCGATGCAGAGAGATCACGGCAGGTGCATCTCTGGTGGCCTGCCGAACTCGGTTTTTTTTGGTTGTTGGAGCGAGCAAATCATCGAACTAAGTGGGGGGATTTTCCAGCAAACCATGTTTGATTGCCAGAGGGTAAAATCTGCAAAAGACGGGAGGAAAGTGAAGATTCAAGACCTTCCAGAAACCTTTCCAGATGATAGAGCCTGAAATGACCATTCCTTCTTTAACCGCCCTCAGTTTCATAGAAAAAGAACTCGCCCTATTTTTCAGTTCGCAGATCCCCATTCCAAGAATTTGCGAAGCCAGACCTGCAAGGTAGTGGTGCGATGACTATGTGTTGGACATATCTGTATTTGTAGACACTAGGTCACAATGCAACAATTTGATGCATGTGTATGTATAGCAACACAATAAATGTATGTACATATTGAAAAATACAATCATGCACTACAACTATACATGACACACACACACATGTATACACACCTCCACATAAGTATCTCTATTTTAATATATATATAAGTATATATATATATATAAATAAATAAATATGTATGAATATATGCAATATCCATCATCTACATGTCTATTGCATGGGCTTTTCTACTGCCACCGGCGCAGCCCAATTTTGCTCCAGCCTGGCGCCATGGAGAGAGCCGTTTCGGGAGCGACCGCGAGGCGATGGCTGGTGGCCCTGAGTCCGGGCGCCCGGGATCCGGGACCAGTGGATGAGCCATGGGCTGGGGAGAACAAACACATACACATTATATATATATACATTATATATATATACATTATATATATATATATACATTATATATATAATATATATATATACATATTATATATATATAATACCTACAGTATATGGAGTTGTTACTGTTGTGCACAGCCGTCACTTAGAAAGCAAGTCCATTAATCTTACGAAGCCAAGGGATGCAGTGGATCATCAACTGTAAGCCTGATAAACAATGTTTGGCTGGAGTTTCTCCCCAAACAATATATATATATATTCAATTATATTCATATGTGTATATATATATACATGTGTATACATGTGTATACATGTTAATATTTGTGTATATATATATATATGTGTATATATATATATATATATCTTTGAACATTTGGATAATTACTGTATATGGAAACTTGGAAGCAAAAGGACCTGATAATTTTTCAATGTGTGAGTTTCCTAAGTCATGGGGGTACCCCGAGATCATCCAGTCATTAGACCATGACTTAGTATTGACACCCATCGTGACCTGAGGTCTTGGCTCGCTGTTCACCTTGACAGCTGGTAACCATGGCTACAAAAGCTCCAAGGACATGGCCGGTCCATAGGGCTGGTGATGGGGGGCCTCTCATGACGTGGCAGATGCTGGCGATAAACTGGTTTGTTCCAACGTGTTTGAATGGATGCAAGGAGTGCACCCGCACTTTGCCATGTCAGGTATGATATTGTGAGACTTGTATCCCAAAAACTCTACACATTGCGTCAAAGTTTCCGATTTCCACACCTGCTCATGTAAATCTGTCTGTACCCTCCCAATAGGAGCTTGGCACGTCCTAACAAGGGTTGATAAAGGCTAAGACGCCGTTCATGGGGCCTTCTCTGGGATTACCTATGGGTAACCGACTTCCATGACTTCTATAATATTCAATAGTCCTATGTATATACATATACCTATATATATATATTGATTGCAGCATCATGATGCGTAGGGACATGAGGGAAGAGACTGCGTACTGCAGTCTCAGTGGTTCAAGTGAAAGCAGAGGCAGTGGCCCCCGGACGCGTTGGCTCCGGCAATGGCAACCACAGCTAAGTGGTTGGTGAAGAGCGGGGTGGACTCGCAGCGGGCGAGGAATGCTGCGATGCCATTGCACGCAGACAGCCCTATCGTGGTCTACACCCTGCTGAACATGGCCACGACCCTCTTCAAATGGTCAACCTGGGAGAGGACACCTACGGTGCAGTTGGCACCCACTTTGTGCTTGTTTGCCAGGGTCCTGGACCGCCTGGCCGCGATGGCTCTGGGGGCCATATGCATCCCGGACAATGCCTACTTGGACCAGCCGCTGGAGGTGCCATTGGAGGTGTTGAGGAGAAAGGAAGAGTCAAGCCCCCTTGTCCCCCATGGTGGCGAACAAGCCACTTTTTCAAAAATCCACGAGGGCGGCAATCAAGCCGTACCGCCTCCGCCGTCATCATCTGCACGCATCCATCTCCTCCAGCGCCCGAGCCAAAAGGACGCGGTTGGCGGCCTGCAAGGCTCCGACTCACATAGGGCTACCACCCCGTTGCTGCCGCTGCTCGGCCTCACCAAGACCCGACGGTTGGGGGAGCGTAGGTCCTGTCCCCAACAGGATCTGACTCATTGTGGCCTCGTCGATGCCCTGGAGCCTCTCGCTGAGTATGTCCACCAGCGGGCAAATGTCCACCAGCGGGCAAATGTCCACCAGCGGGCAAGTCTCAAATGAGGCACTGGATGACGGCCATCCCAAGTCGGTCAAGGCCAGCTCCAAGGTAGGCCGGGGCCTCGGCCCTCCACTGTGCCAGAGGCGTTGTCAATGCCTCCAGCTCCGACCTGATCACGGAGTGCTCCGCGGTTTTGCATTTTCTTGATGTTTTTCGGGCTCATCGCCTGTCACACTTTCAGCACTGACACATGTAGTTTGTTGCTTGTGTCCATAGTAAATTTTCACCTTCAGATTCCGGTTTCTCCGGTGACACCTCCCCGTCACAGTTGGTTGCGGGGCAGGGCCATCGGCTGCAGTGGGCCTCACGGCTGGTTGGGGCCCGCCTTTTTCAATGGGTCGTCCCGCGGTTGCTGGGAGGATTCCCCGTTATCCCCCCCTCATAGTTGGTTGAGGGGGGATAGCTGTTATTCAGTTTATTTTTGGTGTTGGTTCACCAATCCCCTCCCCACAGTTGGTTGGGTCCAGTCTGGTTAAGTCCCCCTCATCCCCAGTTGGCGGGGCTGAGGTGGCCGACTTGTTCACCCGGGTTCCCACAGTTGGTTGGGAACATGCGTGGGGTGGAACGCGTGGTTCCGACCTCGTCTGGGGGGGTCACAGCGGGTTGTCCCCCCCTCCACTTGTCCTCATCCCCAGCTGGCGGGATGCGAGTCACAGCAGGGCGGCCAACACAATTCACATACCGCCACATTTCAAAGCCATGCATGTCTCCTTACCATATTTATTCACGGTTTCGCCATCTCATTTCATTTTAAGTTCCCGAGGATAGCATGAGTGCTCAAGCCACGGGTGACCTGCCGGCGTTGTGGCAGCGTTTGCGCGATGTAGGGCTGCAGGAGGTTGCCCCTGTGCTGGTCCAGCTGACGATCAGAGGGGTCGAGGAGTTGGCTTCTCGAGCCTCAGCAGCGATTATCGAAGCTGGAGTTGCTCCATGGCAGGTAGACCTACTGGCTTCTGGCCATGCCGGAGCCTCCGACTCTGGCCCGTCTAGGTGGGATTGTCCTACTGTCCGGCCGACCAAGAGGGCTTGCTTCCAGATGGCGATGGACGCCGCTCTGCCTGCCAACCGCCGCCGTTGCATTGAGTCCCTGGAGGCGTGCCCATACCACTCGACCTGCAACGGATAGCAAGGTCAGGTCTTATGTCACGCTGTGTCACATATGGCAAGTGGCACCGTGGCCAGTGTCGCTGCAGTCGATACTTACAGTACTTTGCGGCTTCTCTCAAAGAAGGTGGATATACGTCAGCCCAGACCTATTTCCAGGCCATCTTTTCACATCAGAGAAGAACTTTACAGATGGAAGTGCTTCAGATCATCAAGCACACCGCCAAGGACTATGCACGGAGCATCGGACGCAGCCTGGGACCCGCTGCCTTGAAAGACTCTTTTGACGTCGAGCTACTCGCCACCATTCCGGTAGACTTCACCGAAACTCCCTTCCGTTTCAGTGATCCACGTCACAGGAAGGACATCTTGGTAGTTGGATGCTGGTTTATGTTGCGAGAACTCGAATTAGCAGCATGCAGATGGGCCCATGTCTATGTGGAGAACGGCTCCTTGCATGTCCTGGTGCTAGTGCAGAAGAACGACACTGCCGGAGCATTGACCGTTAGGTCACTCCTATGCGCTTGCAGGTCCAGATATAAAGGGGAAGACATCATTTTGCTGTCTTTCTGCGACGGAGTGGCATCTGCCCGGCTGGCGCTACAGCTGCTGGTGGGAACGCCAAGGATGTCGGTAGCTTGGGAAACAGACCCAGAGTGCATGAAGGATACCCAGACCTCATTCCGCGGGGCGACTTCCTGAAAGACAACAACCAACAATTGGCGACGGAGATCGCGGCCATTGACCCAAGCAAGCAGTGCACCATTGTGATAACAGCCGGCACCCCATGCCCAGACTTCAGCGTTGTCACAAACCGGAAAGCGGGCACGTCTCTGCCGGAAGGCAACAAGTTCGTCCAGTTCGCCAACGGACTTGACAATCTGAAGGGGTTGCTGCAGGGCAGGAAGCTCATCGTGGTGGCAGAGAACGTCATCATGAATGACCCGGCCGGCTGCGCTTACATGTCCAAGCGCTTGGGGGCAGAACCAGTGGTCTTTGACTCAGCAGACTCCTCGCTGGTCTCCAGAGCACGTTAATGGTGGTTGAACATAGACTGGAAAAAAGTCAAGGCGCACCCCCTCACGAACGGGAAAATTCAATGGTCACAGCACAATGGCCATAGGCAAGTGTGCCTGGGCCTCCCGAAGCAAGAGCCCGGTCACATGGAGATGGGAGGGCTGCAATTCCACGCAGACGTGGTCGAGAACAAACGGAAGATACCTTGTTTTACAACCCCCGCGCCAGATGAGAGCGGGCGGCCACCACCAGCCCGCCCCAAGCTTCGCACCCCAGAGGAAGCCAGACAGCGATGGTTGAATGACAGCAGGCAATTTGCCCCATGGCAGTACGCAGACCATGCCATGGTGTACCGCGAAGGGGAACCAGAGGTTATTCCCCCCGGCCTTCAACGAACAGTTGCGCAACTTCCCAGCAGGCTGGACAAGGCTGGAAGGAGTTGCCCATCGGTCTCGTCACCGGATGATAGCCAACTCGTGGTGCATGTCCGTAGCCATACTAGTCATGGCGGTGGCGCTACAGTTCACCCCAGCAGGGGCATCGCACATGCCACAGCAGGTTGGCATAGGGGCAGTACAGAGGTTGATTGACCTCGGTAACGCCCACATGGCTTTGCCGGGCCCTGGCAGCTGCCCCAGGAAGACCCATCCGGTGCCGCCCTGCAACGACATGTGGGAGCACTGGCGCATGTCCCAGTCATTGGAACACGCCGCAAGGGAGCCCAATCCGGGAAAGCACCTGCCACGGTGCAGGCCTACGCCGCTCACTGGCGACAGCCTGGCCCTGGCCAAGCAAGAAGGCTGGCGCGAGCTACAGGTGAACACGGAACCACTCCTACAAGCCATCAAGAAGTTTCCCTCGAACCCCAAGGCCGAAGTTGCCTCCTTGCTGGACGAGTTGATTTCTTGGAGTCAGAGCACACCGAGCGGTTTGGTCGGATTGCGCGGTGTGGTCGAACGTGCGCATCCAACTGATCAAACAGGTGTTACATATCAACCAACCAGCAGAAGACGGGCAAAAAAAAGGGCTGAGAGGCAGCTTCGATGCATAGCAGGCACGAACAGATGTCTTGCAGCATCATGATGCGTAGGGACATGAGGGAAGAGACTGCGTACTGCAGTCTCGGTGGTTCAAGTGAAAACCCCACTGCCACCCACCCTCAACTTTAGATGTTTTGCCCATCTGATTGCACAGATGACCTGTTGGATCGGTGGGACGCGTCGAACGTGCGCATCCAACTGATCAAACAGGTGTGACATCAACCAACCAGCAGAAGACGGGCAAAAAAAAGGGCTGAGAGGCAGCTTCGATGCATAGCAGGCACGAACAGATGTCTATATTATATACATATGTGTACAGAGGTATGCAATGTGCAATACTTGGGTAAATTGCGAATGCTGGGAGATGGTCATCAATCCATTCATAGGGATTCCCATTATTGGGTGGATAACCATGCTCCATCTATGTTTTGATATCTATCTATCTATCTATCTACCTATCAATCAATCAATCAATCAATAAATATCTATATCTACATTTATACTATATCTATATCAATATCTAACTGTATCTATATCTATCCATCCATCTACATATTTATATCCATATCTTCATCTTTATCTATACCTATATCTATGTATTTATACATATACACATTCTTCACCCTTGGGAACTCCAACGATTTCCGTGACGATGTCTATGCTGCTGCAGCACAGGACTTGCTCCCGCGGGAGGCGCCTCCCGGTCAGGTGACAGCGGACAAGTTGGTGAAAACCAAAGACTTGCCGCAGGACCGATGAGGTCTGTCAACTTGGATCGGTGATGTTTGGACACACTATGTTTGGAATTGCTTGGACATGTTGAGCACAGCTTTGCACAGCTCCATTTGGAATCACTTAGGATATCTTAGGATCATCTTGAGATATCTTGAGTCAGTTACTATAAAATGGAAACCCAACACCCCCTCTATAGAATGGTCCCCAAGTATGTTCTTTTGTGGAATGGTTCCAGCCCAGATCCAAAAAGTGAAACCAAACTTAAGGCATTGCAAACCCAGTTTTCTATTCTATAGGGGGTCTTTTTCCTAATCACTTGGACTCAGGTTTTCATTTTATAGTGGATTATCTGTTAGAAGCAGTGGCCAGTATGATGCTGGGTTTTCATTTTATAGGAGTGGCAGGGGGCTGTTGGTTTTCTTGGGTTTCTATTCTACAGGGAAAATCCCCCCCCCTTAGTCCTGGGTATGCGTTTTAGTCCCTATAGAATGGAACCCCCAAGTTTGGTCCGAATTCCAACAGGGATTATATATATATGTATACGATGATTCATATATGTACTATATGATCATTGCCAATGAATCACATATTTACACTATGATATATACGTATATATATATATATAATCTCGATGGCATACATAGAATACAGAATCGATAATTTCGGCCTCCAGAAGCATCTTCCGGAATCGGTCAAAAAAACCTATACATAGAATAAAAGCATCTTCCGGAATCGAAAAAAAAAACCTATACATAGAATATTTCCGGCTATCCATTTTGATCAGGGGAAAAAAAAAATCTCAGGTTTTGCTGGATTTCTGCAGCCGCCCGTGATTCAAGCAATTCCCGCAAAGGGACGTGACCAATCGGTTTCAATGTGGTGTTCCTCAAAAAATTGATGAATATGTTCAATGGGGACCTATATTCTATGTATGTAGTTCTGCAAGGAATTGGGTCTCAGTCATGTATAAGGGTATATATTATATACGTAATTTGCTTTGGTGAGCAGAAATGTTCCTAATCTAGAACGTACCCCGAAATGATCAATTTCTTTTTATATTGTATTTAAAAACATGAATTTTTCAGGTTCACCGAAGGGTACCCCCCACGACTGGTGTCGTAGAACTATGAAAAAAAAACTATTTTGCAATGAAAACCAATGGAATTCGGTGGTGATCCTCAGAAAAAATAATGAATATGTTCACTGGGGATCTATATTCTATGTATGTAGTTCTGCAAGGAGTTGGGTCTCTTCCATGTATAAGGGTATATATCATATATGTAATTCCCTTTGGGGAGTAGCAACCCTGGATGTCTGAAGTTCCTAAACTACAACGTTTCAACAAAAAAACAGGTCACCCGAAATGACCAATTTCTTTTTATATTGTATTAAAAAAATGAGTTTTTCAGGCTCACCGAAGGGTACCCCCCACGACTGGTGTCGTAGAACTATGAAAAAAAACTATTTTGCAATGAAAACCAATGGAATTGGGTGGTGATCCTCAAAAAAAATGATGAATATTTTCACTTGGGACCTGTATTCTATGTATGTAGTTCTGCAAGGAATTGGGTCTCTTTCATGTATAAGGGTATGTATCATATCCGTAATTCCCTTTGGCAAGTAGCAACCCTGGATGTCTGAAGTTCCTAAACTACAACGTTTCAACAAAAAAACAGGTCCCCCGAAATGACCAGTTTCTTTTTATATTGTATTAAAAAAATGAGTTTTTCAGGCTCACCGAAGGGTACCCCCCACGACTGGTGTCGTAGAACTATGAAAAAAAAACTATTTTGCAATGAAAACCAATGGAATTCGGTGGTGATCCTCAGAAAAAATAATGAATATGTTCACTGGGGATCTATATTCTATGTATGTAGTTCTGCAAGGAGTTGGGTCTCTTCCATGTATAAGGGTATATATCATAAATGTAATTCCCTTTGGGGAGTAGCAACCCTGGATGTCTGAAGTTCCTAAACTACAACGTTTCAACAAAAAAACAGGTCACCCGAAATGACCTTTTTTTTTTTATATTGTATTTAAAAAATGAGTTTTTCAGGCTCACCGAAGGGTACCCCCCACGACCGGTGTCGTAGAACTATGAAAAAAAAATATTTTGCAATGAAAACCAATGGAATTGGGTGGTGATCCTCAAAAAAAATGATGAATATTTTCACTTGGGACCTGTATTCTATGTATGTGGTTCTGCAAGGATTTGGGTCTCTTTCATGTATAAGGGTATATATCATTTATGTAATTTCCTTTGGGGAGTAGCAACCCTGGATGTCTGAAGTTCCTAAACTACAACGTTTCAACAAAAAAACAGGTCCCCCGAAATGACCAATTTCTTTTTATATTGTATTAAAAAATGGTTTTTTCAGGCTCACCAAGGGTACCCCCCACGACTGGTGTCGTAGAACTATGAAAAAAAACTATTTTGCAATGAAAACCAATGGAATTGGGTGGTGTTCCTCAAAAAATTAATGAATATTTTCACTTGGGACCTATATTCTATGTATGTAGTTCTGCAAGGAATTGGGTCTCTTTCATGTATAAGGGATATATCATATATGTGATTCCCTTTGGGGAGTAGCAACCCTGGATGTCTAAAGTTCCTAAACTACAACGTTTCAACAACAAAACCGGTCACCCGAAATGACCAGTTTCTTTTTATATTGTATTTAAAAAATGAGTTTTTCAGGCTCACCGAAGGGTACCCCCCACGACTGGTGTCGTAGAACGATGAAAAAAAACTATTTTGCAATGAAAACCAATGGAATTCGGTGGTGATCCTCAAAAAAATGATTCATATGTTCACTGGGGACCTATATTCTATGTATGTAGTTCTGCAAGGAATTGGGTCTCTTCCATGTATAAGGGTATGTATCATATCCGTAATTCCCTTTGGCAAGTAGCAACCCTGGATGTCTGAAGTTCCTAAACTACAACGTTTCAACAAAAAAGCAGGTCACTTGTATTAAAAAAGTGAGTTTTTCAGGCTCACCGAAGGGTACCCCCCAAGATTGGTATCGTAGAACTATGAAAAAAAACTATTTTGCAATGAAAACCAATGGAATTGGGTGGTGTTCCTCAAAAAATTGATGGATATTTTCACTTGGGACCTATATTCTATGTATGTAGTTCTGCAAGGAATTGGGTCTCTTTCATGTATAAGGGTATATATCATATATATAATTCCCTTTGGGGAGTAGCAACCCTGGATGTCTGAAGTTCCTAAACTACAACGTTTCAACAAAAAAACAGGTCCCCCGAAATGACAAGTTTCTTTTTATATTGTATTTAAAAAATGAGTTTTTCAGGCTCACCGAAGGGTACCCCCCACGACTGGTGTCGTAGAACTATGAAAAAAAAACTATTTTGCAATGAAAACCAATGGAATTGGGTGGTGATCCTCAAAAAAATTGATGAATATTTTCACTTGGGACCTGTATTCTATGTATGTAGTTCTGCAAGGAATTGGGTCTCTTTCATGTATAAGGGTATATATTATATACGTAATTTGCTTTGGTGAGCAGAAATGTTCCTAATCTAGAACGTACCCCGAAATGATCAATTTCTTTTTATATTGTATTTAAAAACATGAATTTTTCAGGTTCACCGAAGGGTACCCCCCACGACTGGTGTCGTAGAACTATGAAAAAAAAACTATTTTGCAATGAAAACCAATGGAATTCGGTGGTGATCCTCAGAAAAAATGATGAATATGTTCACTTGGGACCTGTATTCTATGTATGTGGTTCTGCAAGGATTTGGGTCTCTTTCATGTATAAGGGTATATATCATTTATGTAATTTCCTTTGGGGAGTAGCAACCCTGGATGTCTGAAGTTCCTAAACTACAACGTTTCAACAAAAAAATAGGTCCCCCGAAATGACCAATTTCTTTTTATATTGTATTAAAAAAATAAGTTTTTCAGGCTCACCAAAGGGTACCCCCCACGACTGGTGTCGTAGAACTATGAAGAAAATTACCCAGAACCCAAAAAATGTTCAATCTGCTTGGTTTCACACATGTTTTCGATATGGGAATATCATTATTCCTATGGTATTTGCTTTGGCACTGTTTATGCACTCCAAAATTCTACCCCAAATATTTCTACCCCAAATATTCTAAGTATTTTTTTTTCTGTCCACACCCGTAGGGTTGAAATCGGGCATATTCTATGTATCCCATCGGGATTATATATATATAGACATATGATACACTAAATGTATTTGTCTTATTGTTCGATCTACAAGGTGCTCTTTTCAATGCTTCCAAAAGAACTCATCTAGAATTAGGATGAACGAGTGGTCAAAGCAAAGCTGCCGGAGTGCCGGCCTGAACAGGACTTTGACTGGAGAGATGTGAACGGTGTGAATCTGGCGACTTGGAGAGACAGATGTCATGAATGCCAAGGGGTAGTAACGATAACTAAACCTCTGCACACGTATGTATATGGATATGTACATGTACATGTGTACGTGTATGTGAATCTACATGATTTTGTATGTATTTTCAACTATTTTTAAAATTTATAGGAATTTGATTTGTATGTGGAAGTATCACATTTTTGGAGACCCCACTGATTTATCAACCTGCAGTTTTATCATTCCTGGCTTGACGGTGTAGTCCCGATTGACAGTGTAGCCCTAATCGGCAGCGGGGCCCTTGATTGAGGTGACCAGTGATGTGAATCAGCATCTCGACTGCAATGGTCTGGGTGATCCGTGCTGAGTTTTTTGGGGAAAGCATCGAACACACCAGGTTGAGGATTGATACTTGATTTTTGGCCGCTATGTTTGAGTCTTTGAGTTCAAAAGGAACCCCATCTTTAGGTTAGGTGCCCTTGGAGACTTTTTGAAGAACCTTCCCGAAAAGCAGCCGATAGCTGAAATGGATTGTTTTCAAGCGCATGCGAAACACCGGGCGGACACATCCTGCCAAACATCCAAAGCCATGGGGTTTCCACTAGGATAGATTCTGACATGATGGGTTTTGATGGTCTCCTCTGACATGAGAATTTGTCGGATATCGTTGGCATGTTACCGGTCATTACCCCATGCAACCGCTACTTTTTATCCTACCGAACGGAAGCAGGTCAGGGTCGTTGACCTTGCAACTGGAATAGAGGGGCCCCTTGTCTAAAAACATCGAACGGCATCGAAAAAACACTTCCAAAACCAGCAAAATCAGCATTTTATCCCCATTATAAAAGTAGCTAGCCATAGATGGAGAGAATCCCCCATTTTCAGACACCACCAGTTGCGCTGAAAAGCTTCGCTCTTGTTCAGTTTTTCTCCGAGGCACATCCCCCAGTACTGCGGCTCTTGTTGGATCCACGGTACCACCGCTTCGCTGAATGATCGCATCAAAGTGATGCGACGTGGGAAATTTCCAGCCACTGACCTCAATCGACCTCGATGGAGATTTTCGGGAAGCCAATGGAATATATTTGGTGGCCACAATGATCATGTTAAGATTGTGATTTTAAGGAATGTTGAGAGGGGTGGAGCGACCTGGACCCAGATTCTGGAGCTCTACCAACTACCCAAGAATATATGGAAAAAACATGAAAAAATGGGGATTTTGCGGGTACTTCATTCTTGCGGAGGGCCCAAAAGTGGGACTCGGTGACTTGGACCCCAAATCCGATTCCAATCTTTCCATATCAAGGTGAGGAAATGGGATCTCGTGCTGAAGAATCCAAGTTGTGCAAGTGAAATGGGACAATGGCAGGTGACCAGCAATACTAATAGGGAACCTAAAGTAGATGGAAAATGAACATGATGGACATGGTTTCTATTGGAGATAGTATTCACCAGATCTCAGAATGTAATTAATTCGAGGATCATTAAGGCACATGGACAATTCATATGGGACACCTCGGTTTACATTTGAATGGGACACCGCAGGTACGGAACTTGAACTGTGGCCAGGTCAGCTAAATTGGAGGTGCCTACCATCAGTGGCTATTTGGAGGTTTCCTGAAATGGGGGTACACCTAAATCATCCATTTATGGATTTTCCATTAAAAACCAACCAGCTATTAGGGAAGCCCCACTTCTGGAAACCTCCATTTGTATCCAGGGTCTAAGGGCGAAAACACTGGTGGAACTGACCGCCGAAGTTTCGTCCCGTTTACGCCGCGTTAAGGACGTGATGCTGGCGCGGCAGGTTTTGATGAACTGCGTGCCGTCGCCCAACAAGAGCCTGGCGCCACCGGGCTGCGATGGCGGTGACCCGTGGATGATCCACAAGTACCTGAAGCTCAACTGCAGCTGAATCGAAAAAGCCATAGATTGCAAGGTTTTTCCATATGGAAACCCATATGGAAAAACCTTGGAAGCTGAATCCCTGGCAAGATTTGACAGGAACACGATAATATGGAAAACCACTTGATGGGAACAACATATGAAAAACACTTGTGAAACAATATCCTTTCCTGTATTCCTATCCTTCAACCAATCCATTGACAACGATCCCTGGAGGCTTGCAGTTACCAGCTGTTCGGGATGGCCAGTATTGATTCCATGCTGATCTGAGGATGGACAATGACGTGCCAGACGAGACATGTATGCCCTACCAGGCCCGGAACATGGAACTTTGGCTGAGAGGCCATTCTGCTGTGGCCATGGTTGCATGGGAAACTGCGTTTTTTTTGTTTTGATTTTCTTCCAAGCTGGGTGCTAAGCAGGCAGAAAATATCAGATTGACGCAGAATACGCATGCGCCTGCATATGGCATTTGGGTATTGTAGCTTGTATGGGAGTCCCCAAACAGAGAACGGCAGGAGTGTTTCACCATTACAGTACGATCTTTGCAAGGAAAAAGGGGGGGTGTTTTCCCGATTTCAGGCTGGTTTTTGTTGGGCTTTATCGGATTTTGCTGGGATTTCAGGGCCCATTTGTTCAGGCTTTGATGGATTTTTTTCAGCGGAATGGCACACATCCAGGGCATCATCTGATGGGTTGGTCCACTGAGGAATGCAACAAGATGGACCAGTGTCGCAACTGCCTCTCCGGGCACGGCTGCTGGTCCATTGACACCTGGACTGGATATGGCGTCAGCTCCTATGGTGACTGGTCAAGATCGATTCCCCGAATATTTTCAGTAATCTTCCCAGAAACCATGGTTTTTTGATGTTTTTTGCAGGGCATTCCAGAATCCAGAAACCATTTAGGGGTGTTTGATATTGGGATGGGCGGGATGGGATTATCAGAGACCCTGGAGTTGGACCTGAGATATTCATCATGTGAAACTTGTGACTTGGTGAATGAGCATATCACATTGCATTCTGACCGCCCAAAATTCGGATGTGAACATCAGGGCGCATCTCACAGAGTCTCACAGTCCCTGAATTCTTGGGATGTGAAAACCAGGATAACAGGGTCTGGACCCTTGGGCCCACAGTCTCCAAGCTGACAGTGGCCTCGGAAAAGCGCCAAGCATGGTGCACTTCCGGGGCTGTGATTGATGTTGATGATGACGATGATACCAATGATGACAGATGACAACAGGATAGGGATGATTCATCTATAGATGATATGATCAGATTGATCAGGATAATGATGATTATAGATGATGCCGAGGAAACTTTACTGATGATTCTGACACACACGATGATAGGATATGACAATGTAGAGGGTTCAACATTGAAGAGGTCTCATCGAGTCTGTTGAATCTGTTGGCTGGTTCTGGGACAGGGAACCTCTCTGGCGAGATTCCCATGATGAAAGAGATCTACGCGCGAGGACAGCCTTGAGTCAAGAGTTCCTGCAGCCTTGAAGCGGACATGCCTTCAGACGAAGGTCTCGTTATGTCTTGTTTTCCAAAGAATCTAGGACATTCTTACTTATTTGATATATTTGTCACAGTGCTTGCAGAATCACTTTGCTTCGTGCGAAGGACCTATCACGTGCTCTTTTGCCACTGATAACGAGTTCATGATGAACATGAGCAAGGTCCTCCTCGAGAACGAAGGTGTTTACAGCACCACGCTACTTGACATGACTGGCATTTTTCCTTTGAAGTGTGGATGATAGGAGCCTGGCGAAATGAAGGGATGAGCATCCATTTTTTCCAGGGGACTTACAACATTTCATGCTCACGCTGAAATGTTCCTTGTACTGTAAAAGAATGGGTTCAGCTGGTAGGGTTGTCAAGAAGCGCAAGTCCACGGAGCTAGTAGATTTTCACGTTGATAACTGACCGACATAACATGTGGGAAGAGCTGTTGTGACAATGGGGACGGTTCAAAAAGATTGAGTCATTGAACTCCCAAACATGTAAGTCCCGATGCCAACCTATGCCCAATTCATCCCAATTATACATAGTTGGCTTTTGCTGCTTAGTTTCTTGGGCCGCCATCTAACCATCCCAGCCTTTTTCAACTGCCCCGAAATTTCCTCACTCATGTTTGCGTGTAGTACCTACAAAGAATGTCTACGAATATGATTTGATAATATTTGATATGATATACAGACATTTGCATAGATTTGCAGCAAAGTGATCTCGACAAGCATCATTTGCGTCACTTATCTTTCCGCTAGGGCCCCTAGGTGCAGCACCTTTACTCAGGAAGAAATACACAGCGGACCAGGTGGACCACAACATGGAGGTTACTGGCTGGGGCGTCACAGCCTCTGGAACCAAATATTGGGTGATCAGGACCTCTGAATCAGCGATAGGTTGAACCCAGGTGGTTTCAACAGGCCTTGAAAGTTGCTGACTGGACGTTGCAGAGAGCTGCATTTCGTTTTTCTTGTTTTAACCCCCCTGCCCCCCGGTATAGTTCAAGATTGTTTCTGGAATACATCACTCTGGAGGTGCAGGTAAAAGATGGCCTTCTGAGTTGTGGGTGCGGAATTTGGGGGAAACCGCTGGTCGTAGTTCCATCCTTGTTTATGCCAATCCGCCGAAGGAATTCCTGGGGGACCTATTTTGGAAGCACCTTGGCTGGATACTACTACCTGACCCCTGAAGTTGTTGAACAAATTTGAGGTTCTGCCTGTTCTACTGCCCTTTGGACCCTATTGGTATGGCAGAAGTAAATCGGACCCAAATCTGCTGAGTTTGGAAAGGGGCGACTGATTGCTGATTGAGTTCTGGTCTCCAACTTCAGGCAGTCCCTTTAAGCCTTTGCAATCTCTTCCATGCAATTTTGCGGATAGAGCTCAAGCTATCAACATTTGCAAATAGGCATGATCCATTTCTTTCAACTGCTCGGTAGTTTCTTCTCGAGGCAACGGCTGGTTCAAGTTGAAACGCGGTGAGAACCAGTGACTGGGCCTGGACATCACGTACCCAGCCGGGGAGAGAGGCCTGGGAAAGAAATGGTAAAAGGGGGATGCTAGGACATCCAAAGGTTATATGTTGGTTGTTATGTTTTTTTTTTTAGTTGTTGTTCAATGTTTCATCCTTACCTTTGATGTTTTATGTGGTGGAGGTTCTGGGGCTATTTTCTTGTTAAGTGTTCATCGTTTCCTGTTTCATTATTTTGTTAAATCTATTGTTGATGTTCTTTCATAATGTTTTTGTTGAGGTTATTGCGTTTATTGTTGAGGTTGTCGTGTTTTTTGTTGTTGCTGTTGCAGTTTATGTTTTGTTCAGATGAGGCCACATGTATTCTACTCAATGCATAAATTGTTTCAGTTTTTTTTGGGCGGGTCGGGTGTTTCTTCTTCCTTCCTTGCGGTCGCTTCCTCTGCCATCTTTTTAAGTTCATTTGCTGTAAGTCTGCTGGGTGAATGTTGTTTGTGTTCAGTGCTTGACCCTGCGAACTTTCGTGAAAATACCAAGCGTTCCTATCAAAGATTTTTCTGATGTCATTTGTTTTGAATTTTTCCCTGTCTATTTCCGTAATGAGTTCCGCATAAGTGGGTATTCGTGTCAATCCCTGTTTTGTGTTGATTACTTCTGCTGTCATTGCTATATATTAATACTTTAGAACTTTAGATTTTTATATTAATCTTGTGTATCACCTCTCAACCACTGTTTGGATGTTCGTTAATCACTCACATCACCGCTCCTTAACCATCGCTTATATTCATCAATTCTCTGTTTCATATTCTGGACGTTCGCTCCGTAATCTTCCAATCTGTGATTTTTCCTCACCTCCCTCAACCTTGTCATTTCGTTCTGTAGCATCTCATTCTCTTCCTTCATCCTCTGCTTTACCTGTAAGACCTTGTAGTCGTGCTCGGTGTTGTGATATTCAAGAAGACGCTTTAGATAAAGATGATGGTTGTGAGTAGGCATCCTTGCCGTGTTGTTGTCCTTGTGGTAGTAGTGGTCATAACTGCTATACACTTTTTTTCTTCTGTCTGGCATTTCGGGCGTTCCGCTCCTGTAGTTGGCACTTTTGTTTGAATGGACGGTTTGTTTTCTGTTGATGTCCTTGCGGACGTTTTCGTATATGTCTTTTTTGTTGAGTTCAATTTTCTGTTCCTTGATGTTCATTTTGATGTTCATTTATATATATATATAACTTTACAAAACTTTCGATGCTAAAGATTTCAATTTCTCTCTCGTCGCTTTGTTCTTCTCCTCTTTGGCTTTGTTGTAGGTGTCTCTGGCGGACATCGCACTTTGTAGTTCTTCCTTTAGTTGTTTTACAAGGTCGTTTTTGAATGCTTCTGGGTCAAACAAAAGGCGGTTTCGCCCTTGACGGTCTTACCCTCTTGGGTTTTGGTGCTGGTTGTGGTTTCTCTTCAACTGGTTTTTCAATTACTTCTTCTGGTTTCTCCTCTTCTTTTTGTGTTTCTTCCTGTATTGTTTCTGGTATTGGTTCTTCCTTGGGTTCTTCATTATCAATCTCTTTTACGACTACCTCTGTCATATATTAATATTATAGATATTTTTTTATACTTTCAAAATTTTGTGTCTCAAATAAGGTTTCTTCAGACCCTCCAGTTTGAAGGTTCCATTTCCAACATCGTCATATTCTATCTTGATGATTTTGTAGGATTGTTTGCTCCATTTTGAGTTATACTCCTTCCTCTCCGTGTAGTTGTCCTTTTTCTTCACAAAGACCTTGACCATATCATTGGCATTCACCTCTGGGTATTTGCGTGTGTTCTTTTCCCTTCTTGTCAAATTCACCCTGACATCTAAATGGTTTTTGTCGTCGTGGGCATCTTTCCGTTTCATTTTTGTAGATGAATGGACTGTGTCGTTGTATTTATCCAACGCTTTGGACAACATAGCAGTCCAACTACCACGATTCAACCTGACCCTATCGTGTATCATATTTTTCACTGTCCTGATGAAACACTCCACAACATTAGCGTGTGTCAAGGTTACGACGTGAGTGATGCCTTCTTTCTCAAAGAAGTCTTTTACCCCCGCTTGGAAGGCACGGTCATTATCACTGTAAATTGACATCGGAAAACCCATTTTCTTGAAACTTTCTTTTAGTGCTGATAGGGCATTTGGACCAGTTTTTCCCTTCATAGGGACGACATTAGGCAACTTGCTGAAGATGTCAATAACAACCATCGCATATCTCGGCTCACCGTTCTTGACGGGAACTTCAACCTCTGGAACTTTGGTAAGGGGTTTCATATCCATAATTTCAATCTGGAACTCAAAACGACTGAACGGAGCAGTGTAGGAGTTTGAACCCCTGTATTTTCTAATCTGTTTGTTGGGCTGTTTCCTCATAAAGTTTTCCACATCCACCTTATTGATGGTCGGGTCTTGTTCCTTCGCTTTCTTGAGGGTCTGATTGATTGAACCGAAGCCCGTTTCAAGATTGTAATAGACATTGCTTCTGATGTCATCTCTTGATAGTCTCCTTGCCATATATTATAATATTAGTTTTTTTTTTTTTAATATCAACAATTAAACATATACTTAAAGAAAAAATACCTATATATATAGTAAGACTAAATAAGATGACTAAATTTGACTGTGGATGTCGTATAATGACAGATGTTATAACCCTGAACGGTAGAAACCAACCTATGTGGAACTACTTGCTCAAAATCTTCGTGAATGTTTGTGGCAAGTGCTACAGGAAGCACATGAAATTCCAATATATGGAAAACAAACTTATGGAGATGACCTGGAGATGGAAAAACAAAGAATGGACATGTTTTTGGAAAATGAGGATGAAGAACAAGACACATACTTTGATCTGACAGAGTTGAAGGAACATCTCAAAACCATCCCACCCAACGAAAGACACAAAGTGAAGGATTTTGAGAGGTTAAGAAACCTTGCCAATGGACAAGACCCCAATGAAGGAATGAGTGAAATTGATATGGTTATTAAAAGGAACTGGAAGAGGAGGAAAGGGAAAATAAAAACCAACCCGAACCCGAAAACTGAACGACCCCCCCCAAATTACTTAAAGAAAAATTAACTATATATAATAAGAGGATGCTATCTACTTATAAAAACTGTGGATGTTGTAAAAAAGAAATGACTAAAGTAAAGGTTTTATTGAATAACATTTTTCCTGCTGGAATTTATGATGAGATATGTAATTACAAACTGCACTGTTCTAAATGTAAAGAGTTGAATGATAAAAAATGCAAATATATAACATTCAATTATCATTTTGATCATTTTGAAGAGAAAGAACTAACACGAGTTGAAAAACAAATACATTTCTTCAAAACAAGGATGGACAAATCACCTATCTATTTATCCAACGCCGACCGAACAAATGTTAGAGTAATGAAGAGAGAAATAGATGCTTTAATGGACACCTATAGACTGAAGGTAGAATTTCAAAAAGATAAGATATATTTTCAAGCGGATAAGTCTTATGTAAAAAATCATTGGAACTATACCTATCACATTCTAAAGAATTTTCACGACCTTAATTTCATCAATCGTAGTAAGCAACAAAGATGTTGGTGGTTTCCTAATGTTGAACCGACTTACATGTTTAGAAATCGGGAATTCAAGATTAAACAACACATTTTGGAAATCTTCTTGCGTGAATACACTGAAGAACTGTTCAATGGTTATGAGAAATACTGTAATCAAGAAGAAATAAAAGAGCACCTACAAAAAATGATAAATACTTAAAGAAAAAATACCTATATATATATATAGTAAGAGAAAATGAGCAGAGCAAAAATTGAGGTTATAGATACAGGGAATATTGGTATATATGCTGACTTTGGTAGTGATAGTCATAGTGAGGACGATGACTGGGAAAGAAAACAAATAGAAAAAGAAGATGAAGAGATTAGAGACTTTGTAAAGTGTCATCCTATGCCTTCACCAGATGATGAGGAAGGAGACAAATTTTGGAAGAAAGTAATTGATAGGATGAAAGAAGCAGAAAGAGTTATATAATGGTATGATATTATACTCGTTTGTAAGATTTGACATTATGAAAAACATGTATGAAAACCTCACTGATAAAAAGGTCATCATTGATTGTGGAAAGGAACTCAATCGTGATGGAGAATTCAACGCTATGATTATTAACCTAACTCTTTTGTCAATAGCAATGGATGAAATGAATGATACAAACAAGCCGTGCTTAACACAAATAAGAGTGATTGAACACTGGTGGGATGGGAATAGGAAACTGGGAAGCATAACTGATTAATTCATAATATCTAAACAATATATATTATGAAGTAATCACCCGCCCAAACACAAACATAAAACCCCAACAGTCTAAACAAATCCTACCCCCATTCAATCCAAACATCAACAGTTAAAGTTCGGGGCAAAATAGTCCCAAAAGCCCCATCACATAAAACATCAAAGGTAAGGAAGAAACATTGAACAACAACATAAAAACCATAACAGGGAACAATGACTGGGGTGTTGTCCCAGTATCCCCCTTTTACCATTTTTTCTGGGACAAGTTGGATGCAGAGATTGACAACTTTTCCACCAACAACCCCGTGAAACCTAACATGGAACTCATCTTGCTGGCCACTTTCAGCGGGAACTGCAAGCCTATTTTTGGTGAGGCCCCTCAAGTAGTACAGTGTCCAACAACCAACTCTTTGATGTGTTCTTTTCATGACATCCCCTGACTTTTGATGCAGTTGTATACTCTATTTCTTTGATTCATAGTGCAAACGTACATTTGAACATGTGCATGTCCATCTATGTATCATGATATTTTGATCCGCCATTCTTGTTGCTGGCATATAAATATATACAGTAGATCCACACACACACACATATGTAATATCTTAAGGCACAGACCCAGTGGTTTGCCTGGACTGCAACATTAAGGATGCCCTGTTGTCCAACACGACAAGAGAGAGTGAGGAAAATACTGCGTACACGCACTGTTTTCTGGTTGGGATTCAGAGTTTTCCAGGTTTAAGGCTTTAGGCTTTATGATTTTAGGCTTTTAGGTTTAGGGATTTCAGCAACTCTAAACCACACACTTGTTGCCTTGAGAAAACGACGCAAAAAACGGTCCCAAGGTTGCTGAGCGAAGCAGACTGCGACTGGTCCATTCCTCGCTTCCATGGCTTGGACGAGGTGCTGGCAGGAGCGATGAGGGTCTGAAAATATGATGGCCCAATGGCTATTTTAATGGGTATTTGAGTGGGGAAAATATGATGATAACGGGGAAAATCATGATTATCATTGATCATCATTTTTTTACCCCCAAATGGTTATTTCAATGGGGAACATGATGATAATCCAATGGATTTAGAGGTACACATGAAGGACACCATTTTGAGACAAGCCCATGAGTTTGTAGATCATGTCCTAGAAACAAATGGAGGGGTGTTCGATATCCATATAAATTTTTGTAATATCCATGTAAAGTTAAAGTCAGGGTACCAGCAAAAATGTTGGGTATCCAGCAAAAATAAACGAATCAGCACAAGAACAACAGGAAGGGATATGCAGTATCCAGCCGCTTGCCGCGGAGTTAAACGGTTCTTTTATTTTCCATCCAACTGTTGATATTACGAATTCATGTTACTTTTTTGCAACCTCCAGGCCTCAGTGGCCAGCGCCTTTCGGTTTCTTCCCTTCCGTCCACTTCGGTTTTTGACTGGGGGAGTTTATTTCGGAAGGCTGTCCGCTTTCCTTCTGTTTTCCCAGGCTTTGAGCCCAGATTTTCCGTTGGATGCCACACGGGTCCAGTCCTATAGAAGTTCATCATCCCTGCAGTGGAGATGATGACAGTGTCCCACTGGGAAAATCTTTTGGGTGGTACCACTCAAGCATGGGGATAACCACCAATGAAGACCAAAGAAGCAAAGTATAGATACTAAACTTACTAAACATGCACGTACAATCACGTACATATGTATCAGACAAACGCGGGGAGTAAAACTAAACACAATACACCTGGTGAAAGAACCACGAATTGTGTGATGTTTATCCAGCAAGCAAAGGGGGTTAGCATCAGCTTTCGACTTGGATGTAAACTGCACCAATATGGATAATGTGTGATAATGTGGTAAACCCAGGAATAAACAATCCTCAACGGTACCATAAATGGATTGTAATATCATCCCCAAATGGTAGGATTATGGCATCGGGTCTACCACATTACACAATGATAATGACGGGGCCAGTGATGGCTGATGACGATGATGCTGTAAAGCTCAGAATTCTTTTATTTTAAAGCATCTAATTTCATATATATATATATTTACATTTCTATATATATACACATATATACACACAGATATATGCACATATATGTGTGTATATATACACATATGTATATATATATATATACGTATATATATATATATATGTATATATATATACACATAATATACGTATATATATATATGTATGTATATATACGTATATATATATACATATTCATATTTTTATATTCATATATATATATATATCACCATATTTATATATACAATATTTATATATACACATTGTATACATATATTATTTATATATATATATACACGCGTACTTATATGTACATGGTATGTATCTATACATACATAGACTTGCAAACAACAACGGTGCAGGACGAGTGCTGGGCAGTTACATGACTGGCATGACGACGAAGGTCAGCAGCAAGACGCTTGGATTCTCCGGGAGGTTGTAATATGAAATGGGTAAAACTGGATAAAACATGGGAAATTATGTAAAAACACACTCAATAGGTTTCCAGTCAGACCAAACACAATTCAAAACGATTTGAACACTTGTTTCCGAAATTGGTTCCATGTGAAAACCTTGGAAGGAAAAGAGTTTTGTATGATCTTCTGGGATCCAAATTCACAGCACGCGGGGGTCAATTTGCCAACTTCAAACATCATCCCAATCATCCCAGGTAGGTAGGTCGTTTCAGCTTGGTCTCAGGCTAGATTACCAGTTTCAGAAACCGCATGCAAGATTTATAGATATGGAAAACCCAGCATGTGTATATAGATGGTTTCCCACGGGAAACCCATGGGTTTCTTATTTTGCCAGAAACTACACGCACAGACTAAATGTTATATTGGAAACCCAAACATGGTCTTTGATCATTTCACTTCGATATGGCTCAATATTGGCTTCCATTTTTTCAATGGAGGGTACTGTAGAACTCACAGTGACTCACACGTTTTTTTCCACTAAGGACCCTGGAAGCCATCCTTAAAGCTCCCGAGTCCATCGCCCCGTCCATGGCTGTCGCGGACAGCGACCGATCATGGTCGTTGATGACGGCCGCCATGGCGGCCCTGGCGGCGGTGGCGGTGGTAACGGTGATGATGAGAGCTGGGAGAAGCGACAAGAGTGAACCTCTGTTGGGATAGCCATGGGCGGATGCTGAGGGTTTTGAGCTGAAGATCAGTGATATTTCATGATATTTCATGGTTGCATATTTCATAGATGAAGATTCCAGATGGTTTTTTTTTTTAAAAACAGGGAAGCCATATGTTTTTTGTTTTTCAACATCAGTGGGGACGCTTTTCCAGTCCCCCTGGATTGGTGGGGTTTGGAGGATGCACCAAGATGGTGTGTCGTCCAGATCGATAGCTGCAGATTGATGCCATCTTCTGGACGATTTTGGAATACACTCTGGTAGTCAAACATGGCTGGTTGGGAGTTGGGAAATCCCCGAACTAAATGTAGTGTTTAGTGGGAAAGCCATCATTTCAATATGTATTGCTGGGAAAGTCCTCGAACTAAATGGGCCATGGCTTCCATAGCTATGTTCGTTTGCTGAAGGGTACGCAAGGAACAGAGCCTTTTGCATCTGGATCAATCTGTGGTGTTCGTTTCTTTCGTCGCTGGATCAATCAGCTGGAGCTCTTGCGCTGAACGTTCAACTAGGGCAGTGGTGCTGGTTGGGGGTGACTCCATGGTAGACAGTCAAAGACAGCAATTACCTGTAATTTTACGACTAGCTTTGGAACACCACCATGTTTAAGAGGTAAATCATGGGCCATTTTCCATGGCTATGTGAAGTTACCAGATGGTATGATGAATGCCTGAAATGCAAGAATAGAAACATATGGAAGTCTCATCAAAGCAAGAAGCAGAGGCTAGGACTGCTTGTGATGCTCAAATATGGAAGGAATTGAAAGTGGCAACGGACACACCTGCGACAATTTGTGCTGCAATAGCTGGTTACCTTCAAACCAGAAGTCAATCAACAATCCCAGCACCCTCTCTCCAAATGGTTTAGATAGCTATGCCGGCGATGCCACTCTCATAAGCAAAATCAGGAAGTTGTGGAATTCGTGAAATGAAAGAATGAAATTTGGAGATCAAGCCAAAAATAGGGACTCACATCAATGGAAGTGGGGAGACCATCAACAAATCTACGATATGACACTATTATGCAATGTCCCCAAAATGGTTTAATACCGGCATTTCAAAATGTCCCAAGTAGAACGACATTTTTTGGCTATCCTCATTTTCAGACACACTCACACGAATGCATTATTTTGACATATTTTAATCACTTTTAATCAACATGACCAAGGTCACTGCCTGGTGCATCCATGTTTGCCAGTTGTTTCATGGCTGGTGAACTTCCGATAACGACTTCTCTTGCTTGCCCTGAACTCACTTCGGGCGACCCGCCGATCCCATCGCGGCAAAAATTGGTGCGACGGGATCAGCCTGGATTCCACTGGATCGCTCCCGTGGCTGGTGATATCCCGTCAGGTCAAAAGCCTCACGGCTCCGCAACACGCGAAGCTGTGCCATCTTGGATTCCACTTTGGAGGACGACCCGCTGCGAGATCCGGATACAGTATGGAGATGGTCCTGAGATGGTGGGGTGGTACTGATATGTACTGATAGGGGCTTGAGGATACAGATGAGGATACAGAGAAGTGGAATATTGAATAATATTGAATAATATTGAATAACAATTGAATAACGATGATAGGAGAAAATAAATACATTGTCATCAAACTGCTGGGTACTGCAGCAAGTCAGTTCGCCAGTTCCATGTCGAGTCCCATCGCCATTCTGCGATTTTTGCGCATTGTTGTTTCTTATGGTTTCTATATTCGCTTACAAGTCCTATACATCCCATATAAGGATGAAGTCTGGCGGTTCTGTTCCTCTTTTATGCTCGAAAATGGTCAATATTGGTCAGCACATCTTATGGGTCAAAAGTTTAGGAGCCACCCATAATATTTGGTAATTTTCAGACTCACCAGTTCTTTTTTTGGGGGTCCCTGATATTGACCCACATAAACTTTCCTGCCAGGAACCCACCTACAACAGTGCGCATGTTGGAGAAAGAAATAACTAGTTTCTTGGTAGTTAAAACAAAAGGCACAGGCTCAGTCTTGTTGGTCAAGGCACTTGCTCTGGCGTAGTTGACCAAATTTATTGCTTACTTGTCCATTTTGAATGAGTTTATATAGTATGCTTTCCAACTTTCCATATTTCATAGCTTTTTTCATCAATCCGGCCTTCCACGAATCCAGGAGCCCTTGACGTACTACAAATCCTTGGAGCCAGTGAAACCCCACTGGCCCCATCTGTGGCGAAGGCGGCCTTGATCTGTCGAGTTCTGAAATGTCACCAACTCTCCAATTTTGGGGTTTCCCCTAGTTTTTCAGAAAAAACTCACAGTTGATGACACCAGTATAGTATGTAATATATGAATGAGTAACTCAGATATGCCGCTTCTTTTCGATCTCAAGCATCTTCATGGATAGCGTAGTGAGGGCTTTGGATCTCTTCTCTCTGGCTTCCGCTACTTAGCTACTTTCTCCTGTCCTTTCCTTTGTGGCAAATCCCTGACTCTCCCCTTCCTTTTTGGACTTTCGATTGGGTTCCTACTTGGCAGTTTGTGCTGCTGCGCGTGCATTGTCATCCACCTGATTCAACCTCCTGTTGCACATTTCCGGCCTGAGACATTTCACCAGCTGAGCAGGATCCCACAGAGGTTGCAACGATATTTGCATGAGCATTAGTGAGGTGGCAAAGGATAGGATCCTGAAAGAACTAAAGGAAATGAAGTCGCAGCTGTCTAAGGATTGAACAGTTGGAGGCACGGGTCATCAGTGCATGAGATCCACCCGAAGGAGTCGATCTGTGGGAGATAATTGAACCGGAAGCTGAGGTAGGACCAAGGACTTGAGCTTGGGCTCCGTATCGTTGAGGACGGAACAGCTGCTCCTACTAAGGAAATCTTAGGAATTGCACGTGCTCGTCTTACTTCTTCTGCTGTCCCTGTTCTACAACGAGTTCATCGCAGTTTTTCTGCGACCGAGACATACGCTTTACAGGCCAGTGGGGCCTATCAAGCGGCTGCAAAGTCAACATTGGGTCATTCTGCGTGGTGTGGGTATTGAGTCTCCTGCGCGCACCAGCTCCAAACCATCATTGAAGAGTTCCCATCCCATACTGAGGTGGAGATTTTCTGTGCTAGCGCCCAGATCCGTGTCCCACCATGCAAGAGATGGAGAAGCACGCTGCAGTCAAGAAGCCGAGGCTCCTGTTAGCCAACATTCCCGAGCATCTGCCACTACTGGTGCAGAAGTCGTTACCTTTGCAATTCCTGTCATGAAGAGGCCAGGAGGTTTCATGCTTGCAGTGCCAGTGGATGTTTTTACAGGTGAGTGCTTAATATCTGGGGAGATGGCAGACGATGATGTTGAGGTTGGTCCCCATTTGAGGACCTCTGCGCTGCTTGTCGAAGAAGGTGAAGATGGGATGGAAAAGATCACAGGCATAGAGGTGGAGTTTTTGCTAGTGGACCTATCGGATATGGCATTGTCTTGGATGACTGAGTATGACCCTGTCACCGGTTCCACCATGGAGATCATTGGGTTCACTTGAAAGCCCTGAGGACATACCTGAGATTGCTTCGATTGTGAAGCTGCCTCAGAAAATTAAATTTTTACTCGGCTCGAGCCGAGCCGTCTACGCCAGTCAAAGCAAAGCCAAACTAGCAGGCTGCACCAAGGAAGCCGACAGTAGCAAACCTAGCAGACAAGGTAGCCCTACACTCTGCGCAGATGCAGTCGGTAGTCCGTCTCCTTCAAGAATCGCACTCCCACAAGGCATCTTCTGTCACTCCTGCATGCATCAGAAGGCTCTCTTTTTTTCAAATGCTGCAATCCCTACGGATGTTTGGTGGCAATTGTTCCAAGCCCAGTAAGAAGAAGAAGAAGAAGAAGAAGCTGGCAAGTGTGGGAAAATGGCTTGTGATGTGTTGCTATGCCACAGCCTGAAAGGCTGATACCTTCACATGGTGGCAAAGCATGTGAACCAATGCAAACGCAGGATGAGAGAAGTCTGAGGCCGCTTGATGAGTTGAATGGGTAACTCAGATATGCCGCTTCTTTTCGATCTCAAGCATCTCCCTCCCCTTCCAAAATAATTAAAATCCAGCCCACTTGAACTTGCTGGGCTTGTGATGTGCTGCGATGCCACAGCTTGAAAGGCTGATACCTTCATATGGTGGCAAAGCATGCGAACCAATGCAAACGCAGGATGACAAAAGTCTGAGGCCGCTAGATGAGTTATATATCTATATACATATTACGTATATATATATATATAAATAGGTATATTATATACATGTATGTATTGCACCTGGGTTACTCTCCTCGGTTAGAACCCCGTCTTATCTGACTCAAAGTCCTCAATGTTGCCAACGTCGTGTCGGATGACGTCCAAAGCGAGCTGAAGCGACTGCCACGATACCTGGAGACCCAGGCTCCACCTCAATGAAGGGATTCGTGTCAGAGACATGGCGGGGCCACTCGGGGGTCTTGGGTTTTCGGGCAGGGCAAGGACTTGCCAATTGGGGCCGATGGGAAAACTGAAAGGATGACATTGCCAATCATTGCATTACCAACAGTTGGGCGTCAGGATGCGCAGAAAGGGCTAGTCGTGTGGGTCGATGTCGATTTGATGGATCTGTGGCTCCCTTCTTTGGATGTGCCAAAAGTTGGAAGCAGTGAGAAGAGAATCCTGCAGAATTTTCCAGACCTCCCCAGGATCCCTGCGATCACCCAGGACACAGTTGTGGTTCCTTCAAAGGACCAACTGGCAAAGACCAAGAAAGGGATGTTGAGGCAGGGACTTTGGCAGCCAAGTCGTGAGATTTCCCATTTTTGAGAAGCAACATATCTGGATGGAACTGTGCAGATTATTCAGATAGCGATGTGATCATCTGACCAGAGGTTTGGGTCAGGATCCGGGTACCCCAAATCTCGACGTGTTGTGCTTTTTGGTAGAAACTCTTCGAACTGTTTAGAGCAGATAAAACCATGGAGTTTGAGGTGGCAGGTGAACAAAGGTAGTCCCATCCTCTCTGGACAAAAATCTAAATCATCATTCAATCCATCTTTTCAAGTTGTTTCGAGTTGACCATTTTCATCCAGTTTTCATCATGTTTTTTGGGCAAAACATGCTGCACAACAGCAGTTTTTCATCCTTTCCAGGACCTCAAGTGGTACGGTGACCTATTCAAGCACCCACGCCACCAAGGTGACGGTTGTGCCGGACTGTCACCAAACTACATGTTTTTGCTGATGGTCGATGATTTGCAGAGATTTTAGTAAGACAGGATCACTTTTGTTATCAACTTTTTTGAGGTTTGGATTCTAACTGTTTCTGGAAGTGGAAGTGGACACAATGGACAAATTCGCACAAGAAAACCGTCAGCCAAAGCATCTTTATCGGAATTGACATAGCATGACATATCCGTATATATAACTTAATATATATATACATACATACGTGTACATATGCATATGCATACGCATATGCATATACATATACATATACACATACACATACATATACATATACATATACACATACACATACACATATACATACATACACATACACATACACATACACATACACATACACATAGACATAGACATATACATACACATACACATATACATATACATATACATATACATATACATATACATACACATGCATGAATATGACTGTACATATCAACAACCATAAATATTTTTCTATGTATAATCATTTATGATATATATATAATCACATATATAGATACACATCACATATCCATTTTTCAGGTGGAACTCGACGCGCAAGTCTTGGTGCGAATCTGTGGTGACGGAGTGCCAGGCGCCAACGCTGGAGCTGGTAAGCATCGCTCGAACCCCCTCTTGTTTGATTAACACTGTTGGATATTATAGGGAAATTATTGGATATCTATTGAATATAGATTATTTTGAAAACTATAGGGAAATGTGTGTTTGATGAATATCGGGAAATTATTGTAATTATTTTTTTATAACAATATTTGGATATGTACCTATTGGATCTATTAGTCTAGCCAATATATTGGGCTTCATAATAATCCAATAGGGGAATCCCTATGAACCAACCAGTATAATGGACTGACAGAGAAATTTTGAACACTGTAAACAATGGGAGATGAGGATATCCATGGAGATTATTCATGGGAAACATTTGGGGGTCAGTCATAGGGCTACACTACTGAATCCCAGTTGGGGATGGTTGATCATCATGATTTTCCACAACTTTCATTTCATAATCGATTGAGGGTACCCTAGTTTCAGACACCCAAACAGAAACATCATATCAAGTTGGTTATACATATATATATATATTTATGAGTCCGGACTCCGGATCCCTGGCCCCCCCCCAATGGTATGGTCCCCCAAGCTCACGCTCTCGGGAACACGGGACACGGGACCATACATACATGCATGCATGCATGCATGCATGCATGCATCCATCCATCCATCCATCCATCCGGATGCATCCATCCATCCATCCATACATACCTACATACCTACATACCTACATACCTACGTACCTCCGTACCTACGTACCTACGTACACACGTACACACGTACATACATACATACATACATACGTACGTACGTACGTACATACATACATACATACGTACGTACGTACGTACATACATACATACATACATCAATACATACATACAATACATACAATACATACAATACATACAATACATACAATACATACAATACATACAATACATACAATACATACAATACATACAATACATACAATACATACAATACATACAATACGTACAATACAATACATACATACATTACATTACATTACATTGCATTACATTACATTACATTACATTCATACATACATACATACACATTCATACATACATACATACATACATACATACACAGACATACATACCTATCTACCTACCTACCTACATACCTACATACCTACATACCTACGTACCTACGTACCTACGTACACACGCACATACATACATACATACCTACCTACATACATACCTACATACATACCTATACATACTACCTACCTACCTACCTACCTACATACCTACATACCATACATACCAACATACCAACATACCAACATACCAACATACCACCACCACAGGCCACGGGGGGGGGGACCAGAAGAACCATACCACCACCACAGGCCACAGGGGGGGGGGGGACCAGAAGAACCATACCACCACCACAGGCCACAGGGGGGGGGACCATGGGGGGGGGAGGGGGGGGGCTTGGGAGTCCTGGGTCATATATGACAGGATAACAGTGTATCCCTACTATTATCTCCATCATATCCCCATATTTTGTTGGTGCTATTCCCATCATCTCCCCATGTTGGTCGCGCTCGTTACGCTCTGCAACGCGAGGCGGTGGGCACGCATGGACACCTCCCAGGCGGATCCAAATCAACCACATTGATGTCTATACCTATGTCATCCTATGTCTATAATGTGTATATATATAATATACATCATATCCAATATCCGATGTCGAATATCCAAACTATGTCCAATATCTAGTATCTAATATATCTAATATTCTATAATACTTAATATCTACATTTTCCAATTTTTGCTGGTAAAAAACTCATGTCTCATGGAATCTCAATCGCCGGTGTCGAAGGCTCGCTGTGGAGTTCCAAACCAGGACGGGACGGCCTGGTGTCTGGGCCCACTACGATGCGCAGCCGACTCGCTTGGAACGATGCTGCGGTGCCGGGGGATTTACAAAGCAACAATAGATGGAACTGTCGAATTCTTGGGTGGAATTGAGGATTTCACCAAACATGGCCATGGCGGAACATGGCTGAAATATGGAGTGAATGGAATCAACTGAAGAGACACGATGATTCAACCAAGAGACATTGGGGTTGTTAACCAACAAAAAGGGTGGTTTCAACAGCTTGAAACAGTAACGAAAAGGGGAATTCCTAACCAAGATGTAATCCCACGCACGGGCCAAGCGATGGGTCCTTTTTTTTTTGGTGTAGCCAGATTGGCATCACCAGCTTCTTGCTGGTTTTCCCCAAGACCTTTGATTTGCTGAGCACCCAGAGGGGCCATGCTATGTATGTATTCGTGTCAACCTGGAGATATGTGTTTATACAAAAGACGTGGATCTATGCTGCGCCGTTTGTGTATTCGTGTTTTGCTACACGTATGACTACAAGTAACACAACATATGTAACACAGCATAGCACAGCACAACACAACATAGACAACACCATAAGCACAATGTAACACAACATACAATGTAAACCATTGCATTCCATTGCATTCCATTGCCTTACATTGCCATTGCACTTACTACACTAGATGAAATGAATATCCATATCAATCTGTACAGGTAGATATATCTATGTCAATCTATGTAGATATAGACACTGAGGTATCTACCATCACTGTGGCAATGGAAGCTTTGCCATCACTCTTCACAGTCCAAGGTTTGGTCCCCAGAAGCAGTTTGTCCGCCTGCATCGCTCCAACTGCCTGACCGTCTTGGACAACGTGGAGGCAGGATGGCAGGATGCCGGCCCCATCGGGATGCTGAAATCTCCAAAGGTATCCAAGGGTCCCGAGTTCGTGGCCTTGGCCATCAGTGCCCGCCACCAAGAGGTGGGAATCTCTTGGGGTCGACACATCCGATGTTTTAATGATTTTAATGAACCTTCAACTCGATTTGGGAAGATTCACCAGTTGATTCAGAAGCCACACTCGGTTCCCCCAGTTTAATTCTTGGGGTCCTTTGGTACCCGGCGTTGTGACACATTTGTTTCGAAAGGACAATTAATGCTTGTGAACCATCCCCAATGCTGGAAAGCAGAGGGTTGAAACCACAAGCCAACCATTTTGCGATTAAGTGCATGGTGGATACATTCGAACGGAACTGCAGCTTGCAGCTTGGGATGGATTCATATGCAAGATGACTGCAGCGACTGCAGCTTTCGGGGCAGGATAGGTTGACCTCTTAAATCATCACCATAAACGATGATTGCTATTGGGGAAGCTAGACAGATGGCTACGTTGAAGCAGTTGTGGGATCTACAGATCTTCCACTCTGACCCGGCAGAAATGGGTTCGTTCATTTTTGGGCTTTGTGGGATCACTTAACTGGGAGCCATGGCCCTTCCATGTCCTATGGATGGCTTTTCAACCAAAAACCGGGGGCTTCTCCAGAGATCATTGGTAGCCAGCAAAAATGGATTCAAAGATTGAAATCAAGCCGCAAAACAAGGGAGGCTATGCAGCCATCATTAGGATTTCCATCCTGGGGCCAGCAAACGCAACCACTTCGTCCATTTTTTCATGGCCATAACGTTAAACACCACCATTGTCTCCATGAAGAGCCCTTATGCCTTGAGACCGGCCCCATTCAAAAAAAGGGGACGCGGCGCACAGGATTCGATGGTCCGCCTGGCCATGTGCCGCCAGGACTGTCTGGATTGACACTAAGAATGGCCAGCCTTTTGTTGGTTCGTTATCATTCTTTGCTGCAAAGAAATGGCCCCTGATATCTTCGCCTGTCTATCTTCGTGCGCTGATGTAGGCAGCGTATGATCTAGTTTGGGACGACTTAAGGATGAAAGAGACAAACCAACAAGTCTTGGCAAAATTGTCATCCTGTTTTGGCTCTTCTTTGTTGAGCCATTCTCATTCGTCCAATTCTCCCAATCAATGACATGTTCTAAAATACACTGAGTCCTTTTGCTGAGTGAAGCCATTTGTCGAGATTGTTGGGCATGAGGAAGGGCTTGGTATGCCTGAACGAAGGATGGCCAAATCCACTACAACATCTCTGATAAGTTCTATCAGGATCCCAATGACAAGGTGCTTGGAGGGGAAGCATTACCTCTTGCACAAGATGAGCAGGAATTTTTGCTGTAGCCTAGGAACAAGGGAATATCCAAGTGGTGCCAAGACAGCTTATTTTAAGTTTCGGTATTTCTTCGAGGCAAAGCATTTGTTACAGACCAAAGCTCCAATTTCACATTCTCGAGATGGGATGTTTTGGACCTGCCAAGGGGGCACCTAAGCCAAGCCTCGCATCCCGGCCAGTGGGCTCAACAACTGGGTGACTTCAACTTTGCCGAAGCCAGTCCAAAGGCGGGGTGCAAATTCACCTGAGTCACCCGTTAGTGGTCTTGAGATTTCCCCGTTCAAGGCGAAGTCCTCGAATCTCAAGAGGCATCGGTTAAAAGTGCCAGAGCCCAGCACTGGGATATACTGGGATCCAATCACCCAAAGTTCAGCGTTGTTAGAAATGGTGAACTCTCAAATCTATCCCTGCTAGGGACTTTTTTTTTTGGATCAACTTTCTGACATGCGGTGACTCCCTGAAGCTCGGGAACCATAGACCTTGGCGGTGATCCGCGGCTTCCTGGCCTTTGATGCTCTTTAAGAATTTGATGAATGGCCTTCGGTTTGACGGCCGTCTATGTCCACTTTAAAGCAGTCTTTTATTTCATTGGTTAGAGTCATTTTTCGTTTTTTTAAAACGAAGCCGTAACTTGGCAGTTAGCACTCAGACATTGGAGTTTCCTCCACTCCCCCTTTGACACATTCTGGAATTCTTCAAGCCCTCTTGCCAACATTGGCCATCCAGGTCTAGATCAGATAGCTTGCCGGCAGGAGGTTGAATTCTGGGTATTTAGTCTTGCAATCCAATTGCCATTGCTGTCTCACAGAGCCTCACCGTCAAATCCCACTGAGGCCGCCTATATTCACTCTGCGACCACCCTGACGGCCCAGAGGCCATCCAAGACTCATCAGCTCCAGTAGCAGCTTTCATTATAGTGATCCGCAGTGAAAAGGGCAGTTCTTGGGATGCTTGCAAGACACAAGGTGGTAGAAAACGTCCTTAGCCTAATTTAACGGTAAACAAGCAGGAAACATCAGGAAGCCATCTGCTTTTTCTCAAACATCCGAAACCGATTCCTGGAAAACGCCGATCGCATGCCAAATATTCTCCTGTTTGGCAGGACTGCATCTCCAATGCACGCGCGAGCACTCACAGGAGCGAAACGAGCATCCAGTAAGTTCTAATGAGGGTTTCAAGATGGTTTCTGCAATCATGGTTCCTGAAGAAATGATTGTGATATCCTTGTATTGCGGCCTACAACATTTACCAGTGTATTATGGTACATCTCAACTCAGATGCTTGTTTTCCGCATCCCTGATTGCCAGGGCAGCGTTTTTTTTTGGAATTTGACAAGTCGTGAAATATTGTGGAAAAAATCAACCCCAGGTTTCAGACCCCCCTAAACATGACCAGTTTGTTAGGTACCCCACTTGACCCATCCCCAGGACTCACTTTCGGCTTCTCCAGGGAGACCTAGTCCCGCACCGAATGGTGCGTAGTGACGTGTCACTTGGCTTCGGTGATGCGCTAGACACTGAGCCAAAAAAGGTGCGGCGTTGTGCCGGCGCCAGGAAATGTCATGGGGAGATTCTGGCCCTTGTCAGACCAAATTTTGATGAAGGCTGGTAGCGACAGTAGCGACACCTCAAAATCATCCTCAGCACCAAGTTTGGAGGCCTCCCCAAAGTCTTATTGCTCAACTGGACTTTGAGGGAGCGCGTTCATTTTTGGCTGGAAGTGCCAATATCAATGAATTAACATGCAGAAATTTCCCCCCCTTTCACACAAAATATCACCAGCTTCCAGCTTCTTATTGGATTGTTTTGTTTGCACATGACAAAGTTCCCAAGGGCATCTTGGAATCATGGCAAGGCATGCAAGCTAAACATGAGCGTGCATTCATTGCACCTGATCTAAAGTTGGATTTCTGGGACTCTGCGGCAATTTGTGCTGAAAGCTGAGCTGATCATGAAAGGCACATGTCAACAGTAAAGAACTGACATGACCGCTCTGCCTTGAATCGACTGTCAGGACTTTCATGGCATCTCTGAGTCATCGTCACCTTATGGCTATATTTATGGCTCATATCATGAATGACATGTAGTTTGATGTAACTTGCTGAACTATGACACATCAAATTGAGCTCTACTGATATCAAACTTGGGGAAGTCATCGGCTGCACTGCATTGCGGATTGGGGTGTCATTGCTGTGCAGACCCTTGCGCCCTGCACTTAGTACTTTGAGGTGGAAACTGCTCTGACTCTACAGTTGTAGGTAGCTTCTAGGGAATGCAGCATTGTATACGTATGGCACAAAGGTATACAAAGGTAATACAAAGGTACATATCTATCATCCATCATCATCATCATCATCATCATCATCATGATCATGATCATGATCATGATCATGATCATGATGATGATGATGATGATCATCATCATCATCAGATATTCACGATATACACATACATGCACACTGAACTTCATATTATCTATGCATACATAACTGATGCCACGTTTGATCGACTATATCTCATGGTGCAAATCCATATTATCACCCGAACATATCCATATCTTGTGTGCAATTACATCACATATCCATAGGGATCCAATATGGCATTAAAGCATACATGCACAACATAACATAACACAACACAACACAACATAACATAACATAACAGAACATGACACAACGTAGCAGAACAGAGGACAGCATAATTTATATATATATGACAGAATAGAACACAACATAGCGCAAGCACCACCCACGTCACATCAAATCGCATCACACCACATCCCATCATACTGCATAACACACCCACACACAGTGTATATTGTAGGTATCCACGTTTTTACCCATGACCTGTGTGGATGAGGTTTCAGAATGGAGCCCGTGCCTTGGCTTGAAATTTGCTCACCTCGCACACTTAGAAACACCCCGAAGGGAGAGGATGAAATGAGATGAAATGAGAATTCGTGTTTCCGCCTGCTGGGTTTCCGGCTTAGCCCTCAGAAAAGGATTATTTCCCATTGCAAGCTCAGTGTACCAGAGGGTCTACATGATTTCTCTAGTTTTAAAATGCTTTAACTTGTCTGTATGAGCTAAAGATGAGATTATATCATGGTCTGGCCAATCTCCCAGCAAGTGAAATGTCGATGCTGGGAGAGGACACGGTGCCTTATGATGCTGAAGAAGCAGCATGGCAGGGGTGGCAGGCCGGGGAGTTTAGGGATGCTTCGAAATTGTCATTTTTGTTCCACACCAAACGTGGATGGGTTAAATATGGTATAGTCAGTTGAATACAGATGATTGCCGGCCATGTGTAGTCATGACAGATAACGATGATGTTCATGGCGATAATCAAGATGATCATCAGAATGAGCATCAGCATGACCAACATGATAATCAACATGTTTAGTAACAAAGATAGCTACTACCGCCCTCCTCCTCACCATCATCACCAGAATAATAATAATCATCGCTAATAAAGATAGTAGTAATATACAACAATGTATGACAACACTATATATCACATTATCATCATCATCATCATCATTATTATTTATTATTATTCTCATTATTATTATTATCATCATTATTATGTTTGTAAAAAACATTATCATTGTCATCATTATCATTATTGCCATTATCACTATTATCATTATTATCACTATTATTATCATCATCCTTTTAATAATAATAAGAATAATTACTATTATTATTATGATTATTGCTATTATATATGACTATTATTACTACTATTGCTAATGACTATTCTTGTTTTTGGATTCACTTGCTGTGGAGGTGCCTGCTGCCCCAGCTTCCGGTGTGCAGGCCGGAGAAACCGTGGGATCCACTGATCTGCCGTAAACATTTGAAGGTTTCCTGGGGGTACCCCCAATAGCTGGATGGTTTATTTCATGGAAAATCCTGGTAAAATGGATGATTTGGGGATGCTTAAAAAAAATGGAAACCTCCAAATGATTGAAAATTGAACTGAAACTTGGGTTTTTCAGAGGAACCACTGGGGACCAGTACTGGAGTCTCTTTCCTTCTTTGTCCTTGGTGTTTTATTGATGTTTTGAAGATGTGATGTGCTGTTTGTTCTTTCTTGGTTGTGAGAATCCCAATGGACTCAGACAGAAACATTCTCTTGAAAGTGGGTTCAGATTTAGATTTTTACTTGAGGGTCCATTTTTTTGGCATCACAATTTTGAACCCGAGCAATCTTTGTCAAATCTTTACAGTGCTAGGATTTTCCACTATAAACCATCCGGCTATTGGGGTTCTCCCATTTATGGAAACCCTGTCCGATTTGTAGCCTGAATCCCACTTGGCAACGGACATCTGCCCAATTGGGAGATGATTTACCCGATGAAAACCACAAATCTGCAATTGTAAGCTTCGTTCACCGGAGGGTACTGTATAGACATAATTATATATATATTATACATATATTATACATAGACGTACACTAATACACATACATATAGTTATAGTATATATACTATATATATGTATACATATACACATTATCCAGATATAATTATATAGAAAACATATGAAAACATATGGTTTCATTTCATGACGCCATGTTCCACTTTCTAAAAGGATTATCCCATGGCCAGATCCGGGGAAGCGGAACCAGGCGCCCGAGGATGCGCTCGACGCAGTTCCACCGCACCTGGGCAGCACCAGGGGTAGGATATGTTTGAGTATACTATGTTATTCTGTATATGATGTTTAATATGACATAAGAACATATTATATTCTATATCTGTATATATCTGTATATATATATATATTGTAGGATATATATATAATAATAGTAAAATGATATATAACAAAATAACACATAATATGATATAACTAATACAACCAATATCATATTTTTCATTCACGCATCGTTGGGATCTTGAAGGCCACGTGCATTGACCATGTCTGACTGTGGATTTGATCTTATTCCCCATAAAGGATGGGGTCAATATCTCTGGGAACGTCCACAACAACCAGCTGTTTTCGGTGGTCAAACACCAGGATACTGATGGTGGTCAAGCGTTGGTTTATCGAGTATGGCTCCAAATGCAAGGCATTGGGTATGTTCTTTCTTCCGCTTTGAGATTTGACTCCAAATTTGGGAACCCCGCTAGCCTCCTGGAAACTAACACTTCGATGTGGGTTTTCCCCAGCATTTGTAGATCATTTTCTGTACATAATTTCCCTGGTGGGGTTTTCCACATCTGAGTTTCCTCCAGGGTGCAGGGACCCATCCCCTAGACCTTCGTCCTGGTGAGGACGCTTTGCTACGACACCTTCATGGCGGAGCCAGGCAGCGGCCCCGGCGGCCCCGGCTTCGCTGATCCGGCCGCCGGAAGCTCAGAGCCTGCGGTTCTGATTGAGGTGTTTCATGGGGAGATGGGGAATTCCCAACAGGATAATGACAATATGTATCAATATGTTGGTTATTGATGGCTATTGATATTACTCACCTCTGTGACAACACCGTTTTTAACCAATCATGGGATGTGTAACCAATTTCGAATCCTTCTTGGGATTGAACCAACAGTATATCGATGTATAACCAAGAGTAGAACCGACAGAATTATTCAGTCGTGGAATGTATAACCAACCAATATATATTTTTGGTGTGTCTGAAACATGTGAAAAATGATGATGAACCAGTTCAGCATCAGTTGGGGAAACAATTTTCCAGACAAACCCATCTACATGTCAATAGTTGGCATGTAGCTTGCATATAATTAATATGTATATATATATATGTAGTTGATACATAGACAATACAAATCGTTGACATGTAATTACTCAATACTTAGTCGATATATTAACGCTGATACAATGTATCCATATAAAATTTGCATTTAATGACTGCAACTATCCGCCAAAGATGGTGATTCAATCATTCTATACCCTATGACAATCCAACTTGGCGGAACATCATTTTTGATAGGAAAACCACCATTTTTAGAGAGGGGGTTTTCCAGCCAGCCAAGTTTGATTGGAGAGTAGAGCCCCGTGAAGATTACCATGGCTGATGGTTGAGACTTACCCAACAAGACATTTGTACTTGCCATAGCTATGGAGAATCATCCATCATTTAATTGGTAAATACTCAAACTAAATGGACCATGGCTTCGATAGCTATGTTACATGATCAGCGGGTATCCAGTTTTAAAACACCTTTGAACATCCCATTACATCCCCATGGTATGCATATATATATAATATACACAGTAATCAAATAGTTGGAGATATGGTGACAACCAGCCCTTGTAGCAGTTCCAGAAGCCACCAAGGTCGATGCGGCAGCGACCTTGGCATATGAAGCGGATGCAGGTCCATGTCCTGCTTTTTCTGTCATGAAAATGGACGATTTTGCCATGAAAAGACACCTAGCAGCTATGGAACGATGTTCAAGAAGTTCAAGATCCTTCAACTTTTGTTTGATGGGAAAATAATCATAGGAATGGATTTATGTACTATATATAAATATATATATATATTTATTATTATTACTGATATTAGTATATTATGTATTGTATTATATGTAATAATCTTATCAGAGACTCATCTAAAAAATGAGATAAACAAATGATCGAAAATGGGGGAGCCAGGTGGGGTGCCGCAAGCCTACGGTCAGTCGGACCCTTAGCATTTAAGGCACCAAAATCAAGGAAGTCGAAATCACCTATGCCGTAGTGCAAATGTACAGGGACTAGAGATCAAAATTCAATATGTAATGTATATATATATATACTATACATATATGATCATATACATTCATGCAGATACCGTCAAAACATACATATGGATTCAAGTCATGTATGACATTTCCAGTACGCCGTGGTTTGTCAATGTGGTGTACTTTGAACCGTCATCAGGTCTGCAGCTCCAGCGTATCCAATCGAGGCGGGGTCGAGCCAACCCCTTTGTGGGTGACCAACGAATCCCTCTGGGTTTGATTCCCTTCCCCTCTGTACCAAAATCACAGGCAAAGTGTCTATTGAATTGAACCTACCATCCAGTAGACTGATACCAACATTGAAAACAAGGATCAAATGGTGGATTTTCCATCTTGGGATCAGTCAAGTCATTAGGTAGCCTCAAATTGGATGGTTTACCCCAAAGAAGATACGCATGTGTGGTCCTCCAGGATTTAGATTTTGTTCCCTGTTGACAGTGTATCCATCTTAGGGTCCTTCGGCTCTTTGAGACTGTTGCGTCTGTTGCAGGCAGCCACTCAGCAGTATGGTGACACCTTGGTCGGGCTCCCAAGGGCCGAGATGGGAGCGGTTCCTTTCCAACGGACCATCGTGGCTGCATCTGAGGTGTTGGAACACGAGGGCGACACCCAGGAAGCAGAACTACCCCCAGAGATAGTTGTTCCACCACCAGCACCACCACCAGCAACCGCACCAGCACCTCCAGCATCTCCAGCACGTCCAGCGCCTCCAGCGCCTCCAGCGCCTCCGGCGCCTCCAGTAGCGCCTCCGGCACCTCCAGTGCCTCCAGCACCAGCAGCACCTGCATCAGCAGAGAGTCCGGGAAAAGCCTCTGCTTCCTCAGCCGCTTCTCCCGCAGCCCGAGCAGCGACACCCCCCGTGCGCTCACCGAAGAGCGGCTGGTTGAGCTCTCCACGCTCAGCGCCCGCTGTGGCGTCGCCCCGTGCTAGTTCCAGTCGTGCCGCTCCTTCCCCGGCAGCGGCGTCAGCTGCGCCTGCTGCGCCCGCTGCACCTGCTGCCAGCTCCAGCACCTCCAGGATGCGACGGCTGTGGGGGAAACAGCCACCACCTGCAGGCGAAATGCAGAGCTGCACAGAGTTTGGATGACTTTTGGTATGGTGCTACAGAGATGCATCCCGGGATTGTATGTGAATGCCGTGAATAAGTGAATAATCATACTTAGTTTGCCCATGCATAAATGGGACAAACAGATACAAACATCAGTTTTTTGAGCGCTGTTAACTGTTAACCTCCGCACAACAAAGTCGGAATCATGAGCAAAAATAGATGCAACTAGTTCAAAAGTGGGATTCCAAAGAAAAAACATTCAACCGATGGGGCCAATGAGGAAACCACAGTAAACACAAGTCCAACCCGCAAAATCAGGAGTGGAAGCAAGCATGGAATGTTACTAGCAATAATGGGTCCATCATTGGGGTTTGACATGAACAAGCAAGGGGCTTTGAATCAACCCCACTTTTGTCACCACAATATTGCCATTGGAATACTTCATCCCGCAGGGTCAAGAAACTATTTGACCATTGAAGGTGGAGACACACTCAGAAACGTCTGATCCGATTGATGGAGTAATTAAACAGCTCCAAGATCGAACGTGGAAACCGGATGAATCCTGCAATGGCCAGGAATCCAAGAGCAACATCATCTAACCTCTGTCATTCCTTATATTCCTTACTGGGTGTTTGATAGGGGCTCCCTAATCTTTACTGGATTTCCATGTTGGATTGTTGTAGTTGATATAGTTGAATATAGTTGATAGGTGTTCACAGTCCACATGAACCAGGATAACTTGCCCAAACCCTTGGGAGATTCCACCCAATTCTCTGGATGCCTGGCAGGCTATGTTGCTCCGCCCTTGCCAAAGCGTGCCAAGCGCAAATCTGCGCCGGTCAAGATGGCGAGGCCTGCCGCCTCCCCCTCCACACTTCCTGCCATGGCGGGCTGCCGGGTCAGGGGCCCTGGAGGTTCCAGGTGAAGCCTCGAACATCCTGAGTTTGCCCACGTTTTGAATTTTGAAGCACACACACACATGGATAAACATGAAAACATGGGGGTTTGGAAGATTATTTTCCGCACTTGGACATAATTTCTCCGAAACTTGTGGAAATCTGAACTCCGCAAGTGACAGCAGTAACTTGTACTTTTGGTTCAGATGATGTATAGTTTTCAGGGGTTATTTGATGTCCCAATTGTTGTGGGATTTTGAACATCACCCTGGGGTGGTTACCGGAGATGATCTCAATAGAAAACCATGTTTGACTACTGGAGGATAATTTATTGAGGATAAACAGCATGCCAAAGCATTTTACCCTGCTACTTTCCCAAAAGTGCAACAACTCCCAAGCCACACAAGGTGTACCTTTGCAGTGGTTCCGGGCAGGGATAGGTCAGAGATGCAATGCTGTTCATTTTCACTTGGGACTTGGGGGAGAATTGAGGACCCCAGAGCCCCAGAGTGTCACAATCACAACGCATGGGAAGTCAGTTGAGCTCATATTATGGACTCAGTCGATGGGTCCTCAAGGTGAACAAAAGGAGTCCAGCTCCTACTGAGGTTCGCGTCAAGGGAGATGGTTGGGGCGGTGGCACTGGCCAGTGCCCTGAGAACCCGCAAACTGGTCAAGGAATAAGCCCTTCCATGGTGGCAACGTGCATATCCTCCATGGTCGCAGACTGTATATCATGAGTTACATACACGCCTGTTGTTTTATATGAGCACTACGCTTGTTGGTGATAGTGATACTCCTTACTTTACCCTTACTGCTTATATTCTCGAATTGTGAAATTCTGTGTCTTTGCTGGCGTTACTTGTGTTTTTGCTGAACATCGAACACCGTACATTTCTGCTGATTAAATTTGACCAACACACCTTCCTCCAGCGACGTCCAGGTATGATGCTACCGTGGTGGATGGCGACGAGCTGTCCTTTACGGTCGTTTTCGTGGGGGAGAACAAGAAACATCAGGACTTTGCACCCCAAGAATGGGAGGATATCACCAATAGATATTCATGTGATTCTAATTGAATTTATGTGTATTTTTTAGCAGCCTAAATAGATGACAACGAAGAAAGTCGGGCTTTGATCAACAAGAATTGTTTCGTTTTTGAGCACTCAAAGTTAACGATCATTGGTACAGCGTGTCTTGCCACATTCTACCAAAGAACAGAAAACCATTCGGTTTGGGTCTCCTGCAACTCAGAGAGAAGCAGTGGCAAACACAATCGAAGCGGGGAATGAGAAAGAAGACTGCCAGGCCAATAGAATTCGAAGTAGCGATTCATGATTTTACTTACCTATCTATTTTTCACGGAAGTTGCGTGAAACTACCCTCATTTTCAAATATTTTCACAACTTTTCCCTTCATCAGTAGGATGACGACCCCCAGTTCCCAGAATTTCATGAAGGAGAAAAGTTGTGGGAAAGATTGGGAAAGCCTTTATTCACTGCAAAGGACAGGTTTCCTGTAGATTTCCCCTGGAAAACCAAGCCAATGACCAGCCAATTTCTCAGACTCGGCACAGGAGACCCATGTGATGCGCGAGTTTTGCACCATGTTGGAGCCTCCTGCCGTTGAGGACCCTGAGAATGACATGGCCACTGTCCATTGGTCCCCCGGTTGTGACATGTCAGTTCCAAGGATGTCGTCAACTTTGCTAGGGCCGTTACCTGATTTTGGGGCAAGCAGCTGGGTCCGCACGTGCTTTGCAGGAGCCAAAGACAACACGCAGGCGAACATCTTGAGAAGTAAGTAGCCTTGAACTGAGCCTGCCTTCTGTGGTGGGAGCGAGGGCAGCGGACCTTGCCATCCTATGATGCCTGCTGGTTTTCCAGCAGCATGCTGGTTGGGGCTGGCAGCCTGGTATTCCACCCTCTTGAAATATGGGCCGGGTCAAAAAGGTTTGAAGATCCTCGGACTCACAGATTCTGGTCATTTCTGGTGTTCAGACCATGTTCAAACCATTTTTTTTTGTCGTTCTGTTGGGCATCCAATCCTATTTTGATCCATAGCCCCATCACTGGAACGCAAGAGCCGGGTCCAGATTGAACCGCGCTTTTTGAAAGCGTCACCAAAAGTTGCTCTTTTTGGGTTGAAGGAAGACACTCAGCACCAGCTGGTTGGTTTCTAGAGAATCCAGGCAATGGTTGGGTGTTGGGTTAAGGGACATGAATACCACCAAAAAAAGATGTGAGATTCTCTGCAGCCATTGAGGTCACAAAGAAACCTTGTGGCTGAGGGAGGTCATAGAACCCAACCATTAAAAACAAACCGCACCGGTAGCTAGGAATTCTCTGCAAAAGTCTAAACTAAAAGCAGCAGCTCCAGACATACACAGGTTATCGCATATCGCTTCTTAACTTAAACTTTCTGCTTCGTCACTGCCGTCAACTATTGGTGCAAAGCCATGGCGAACATCTCAGCAGCTGTCAGTTTCTTGATGGCAAGCATATGGACCATGTGCCGGTCATAGCTATTCACAGCTCAACCGAGCAACACCTTATGTGCAACTTGTGGGTTGTCAAGTATTCAAGAGGATAAATACCAACTCCACATTGAGATATTGGTACGGGTCAAAAGAACATAAGACCCATGTTCCGAACATAAGACCCATGGTTTTTTTGGGACCATTGCGAATTTCCATCCCAGTAAAGTCTTCAAACAATTGGGGGTCAATAGGGGGTTATATAATTTATATAGCTTCTTCCATATCCCGAAGGTCCGCTAGATTGGGTTCAACACATGACCCAGTTCTATGATAGGTTTTTCCCGCCTCATGCCTCATGATTGGTAAATCCCCAATCATCTCCCCATCCATTTTCGACTAAATGGCTTAAATCAGTGAAGTCCACAATTTTTCCTGGTAAAACCATCAAACAGGTAATAGAATTGGTAAATAATCTTACATATACTGTATACATATACTGTATACATATTATATATATATATATGTAATATATATAATATATATATATATATGTATATATAATATATATGTGTATATATATATATATCATTTCACACACACACACATACACATACACATACACACATATGTATATATGTGTATATATATATATATATCAAGCAGCACCTAGATGGTATTATCATATATAAATATAGACACATCCCAAATACATCCAATGATATACATATACCCCATACAAAATAACCTTTTGTAGAATTTTGTAGATGGTTTTTGTCCATATCCCACCATCATCCACCCTTGGGCGTCCCATCCGCTTCCTGCAGTGTGGTTCTAAGGGCTGATGACCCGCCCTGCGGCACGCCTTTCAGCGGCAAGCCGCTGCGTCAGCAATCCCCAGCCGCCCAAACACGAACAGATCTTCGCGGAAGTGCGCGATGCCCGGCGGCGAGCCTGGGGTGTTTGGGTTACCAATTGGCAACCCCCAAGATGCAGATTTTGGTCAGGTCAAATCTCATCCTAAAATTGGGTAAATGTAGCTGTTTCGATATATATATATACATGTATATATATATATTTAAATGATCGAAGGAAGTTTAGAAGTCAAACTTCCGACAATATGGACAGATGAAAAGCAGAGATGGGAAGAGTCAGAGAGAAGAGAAGAGTAGAAGAGAGAAGATCAGAGAAGAGAAAGAGTCAGAAGAAAGAAGATGCAGGTGCGCGAAAAGGTAGGAAAGTCACGAAACACTGTGTTTTTCCAATGATTTGTGGCTCCGGAGGGTCATCTGGCCAGATGAGAGATGAAAAATTGCACACCGTTGTGGCGCGAAGCACATTTCGAAG